GTTCTCCTCACCACAGTCCACTCCTCTGTCTACCGGTCACTCGCTCTCAGCTCCACCTTCGGACGAGTCCGTAGAGCCGAGTGGCCCGTACCCAGAGCTTGTGGGCTGCCTCATGTACCTGATGACTTGCACACGACCTGACCTTGCGTACCCTCTTAGCATCCTGGCTCGCTACGTTGCGCCTGGGAGACACAGGCGAGAGCACTGGGAGGCTGCTAAGAGGGTGCTGCGCTACTTGTGCAGTACATCAGGCATGGGGCTGGTGCTTGGAGGACGGGGTGACGTTGTCCTCACTGGACACTCAGACGCCTCTTGGGTTGACGACCTGGCTACGCAGCGGTCGTCGCAGGGTTACACCTTCAGCCTTGGCTCTGGTTCTGTCTCTTGGCGGTCTACCCGTTCGTCTTCTGTTCTCAGCTCCAGTTGTGAGGCTGAGATCTACGCCACAGCCATGGCTGCACAGGAGTTACGCTGGCTTACTTACCTGCTGACTGACTTGGGAGAGCAGCCGCGTTCTCCTCCAGTTCTGTACGGCGACAACAAGGCAGCCCTTGCCTTGTGTCAGGAGCACAGACTGGAGCACAAGACAAAACATATTGCTCTGCGTTACTTTCTTGCTCGAGAGCTACAGCAGCGCGGTCAGCTTCATCTTGTTTACGTGGACACGCGGGCGAACACAGCTGATATCTTCACCAAGGCGCTTCCGCCTAGTGATCATCAGCGTCACTGCACTGCTCTAGGCCTCGTGCCTACGTTCTCTCACTTGCTCACTGCTTGACCTTGCTTGTACTGTGATTCATTCTATATAGCTGCATGCCTACACTTACTAGGTAGTGATTGCTGTTTTGCTTGCTCTCTCTTGTATATCAGTGCTCGTGAACTGGCCTTGTGGCCCTCCTTGCTTGTGCTCAGAATGTGTGGTGACGTTGAGATCCACCCTGAGCTTGCTTCTCTTGACTGGTCTTGAGACCACTTGTTCTCCCCCACTTTGCCTGTGGGGGTGTGTCAAACGTTATTTTGTTATTTGTATACTGTCGGCTGCAGTGGGGTAGCCACTAAGGGGTACAACCCCTTTAGGGTTTCATACTTGTATCACTTCTTGCCTTAGTCAAACTCATCCTAGTGCATTATTCTAACACTATTTTGACAATATCTTCAGATGTTGTAGAATTTTAAACAAAGTTGGAGTTTCCCTTGTCAGCTCTCATACCGTCACCCCCCGGATATAAGCGCCACCCTAGAATAAGCGCCTGGCGCTTCTAATTGGCATATGGCGCTTATATCACCTCCTCGATTACAAGCGCATACCCTAGAGTTTTACTTATTATAGCCGCATACCTGTGCCTTAGACATTATAACCGCCACCCTTTTTTTAATGTTATTTTTCGTTTTAGGTTTTTATAACCTATACAACTAATTTTACTTTCACCTAAACAACTTCATACAGTAGTTTATCTACGGTTTCTTGAAATTACAGTACGGTTGCACTACCATAGGTCTACTTACGAGCCTCACAGGCTACAGCAATTTCTAAAACTAATCTAGTCATCAGCTGCGGTGGGGTCATCTGGGTCGGCCTCAGAGTCCGACTCAGGTTCCTCTTCGTTGTTGCAGAAAAAGCCATCTGCTGCAATGTCATCGTCGATGTCAATTTCGTCGCCTTCGAGCTCGTCGCGCCTGTGTTGCAGGCAGATCTTGTCATCGGACCCATCCAGGGCGTTACTAATGCCACAGGTGAGGAAAGCCCGTTGAATCAAGTCCTTGGGCACGGCCTTCCAAGCCGCTGATATCCACTTGAGCGTCAGCTCTGGTGGAGGCTTCCTGATGTTGCCTGCTATGAAATTAAACAAATAAAGTTAGCCAAGTCTACAAACCGATAAAACAACACACACATGGCCTGCCTATCTCACCTTTCTTCGTCAAGGTGTCGACCCCCTCGCTCTCGAACCACTCCTGGTAGAGCTGGCAAACGACTGCCTTGAAGGAGCGATTCACCGCGACGTCTAGAGGTTGAACCTCCGAGGTGCAGCCAGCTGGGATAACGGCAGGGACGATGTTCAGCTCCCCGAACTTCTTCTTCACCTCCGCAGTCAGGTGCCTGCGGTACGAATCCAGGACGAGCATCGCTTTGCGGGGCCGGACTCTGAACTTGGGGTTGACGTACGGCTTTACTGCCCCGTCGAGCCACGCAGTGACACCGTCCGCGTCCATCCAACCGTTGGGATGGACGGACACCGTGACATCTGCACAGCCACAAACGCACATACAACATCAGTAAAAAGTGAAACAATAAACATGCAGCAGTGGGTGGTAATGCTTACCTGGCGGGAAATCCCCTTTGGGGAGGGTCTTCCGTTTGAAGAAGACCGGCTTCAGCTTCTCGTCGCTGGCGGTGCAGGCGAGCATCACCGTAACTCGCTCCTTCTGATAGCCGCCGCTGCGGATGAGCACAGAGCGCAGGCCCACCTCCTCGACTGTGCGTTCGGCAGGCATCTCGAGCCACAGTGGAGTCTGGTCCGCGTTTATTATCCATTGCGGGTCGATCTTGTATTGGCGGCGGGTGTGACGCACAAACTTCCAGAAGTTCCTGACATCAGTCTCGCAGTCTGGGAGTATGGATGGGAGGAAAAGAGAGAACACAGGATTAGTGACGCATTGGGATACAACCGTCACACATGAAGAGACAACAACACAAACCAGTAAACATTAAACGGCAACTCACTGGCCGCAAGCTTCTGGCCGACCCTGGTCTTCGCTCGGGTTGTCAGATTCCAGCGGCGGCAAAACCGCTCAGTCCACCGCTGCGAGCCGGACCACTTTACCTCTGGGTGCAATTCTTTCATCACCTCATGCGACCACTTCTGCAGGCGTGCGACCGAAACTGCGAGACATTTTTTACGGTGGGCTTGGAACCTCCTGTAGACTTCCGCTTCCATGTCACGATACCACGAGCTCCTTCCGCGCCCATGAAGACGCTTGCGAGCAGCATGCGCGCCCTCCAGCTCAGCCTTCCGGGTCTTCCATTCTGCGAGTGACCTTCGGGAGATGCCGGATGTGCGAGACATCTGCCGCACGCTCATCTGCCCGGACTCAAGCTTGAGAATCCACTGCAGTTTCTCCTGCGATGTGTAAGAGTGCCGCTTGTGACTTGTAGGCTTGTGCCTGGGGGAGGGAGGACGGGCATCGCGATTCTCGCGAGAAGGTGGGAATAGGCAGGTGCTCTGGAAGACCGTCGGCAGCCCAATACTCCACGTCATCCTCCGCACCAGTCGCGGATTCGTCCAACGGGCAATTAGCCGGGGTTCCCCAGCGTGGTGACGGTGCAGAGGAAGACGATGCGCCACCGGTGCGTTCGGGCTCGGACAGGTAAGCGTCAAACGCCGAGTAGCCAGACGGGAGGATTAGCTGCAGAACCCCCTGACGTGGAGCACCAAACACAGGCGGCTCAGGAGGGGACGGAGGAGCGGGAGGAACCGGAGGCGCCGGGGGAGCGGGAGGGGTAGGAGGCTTTGGAGGAGTGGGAGGAATGGGAGGCACTACTGGGTGTGTTGGAGGGATGGGCGCAGGGCGCGTCTGCCATTGAGAGTAGTCACAGGTGTCTCGGCGGGTGTTTTCTCTATCAGCAGGTTGGCGGCGGAACAAGAAATGCGTGCCTGGAAGGCCCGCCATGGCCACGGCAGGCCAAACGAACGAAGAAACTGAACAAAAAGTTGAGAATGAGGGCCGTATGAAGCCCTCGCCCGAGACCCCTTCAGTTTCGCGGCCCGGCCTCCTCTACGGGAAAAGGGTGGCCACAGTCAAGATTCCCCGCAGAGGAGCTGAGCTGGGCAGCTCGTTGTCTCTGTGGCGGGGAATCTTGCTGTTGATGGGCACGTCGTGGCTGACCACGACGTGCCCACGATCGCATGCAACCCTGATTGGGCCGCTGTGATGCGAAGCACGTGTGCGCTGGCATGGGCTAGGTTCACGTTCGATGAACCTGGCCTGGCCAACAAGGCGTGGAAGGCATGAAGCCACGCCTTGTTGGCCGTTTCACGCGCATAGCATGCACATTTTCGATCGTTCTCGACTCAGGAGAATCCGCCTTTGAGAATGCTTCGATTTGGTATATTTAAAAACAAATTTCATTTTTGACAAAACATAAACGCCGGCGCTTATAAATTTACTATATTATAAGCCCACCCCCTAAAAAAAAACATGTTTTTTTATACCCCCCCATGGGGGTATATCCGGGGGGTGACGGTACCATGTTGGGCTGAGAAAAGCCCTTAGGATCTTTTCAAGGTAGAGCTCCTGGTAAAGATGTTGTAGTTTGCGGAAGCGTTTTAATGAAGAGTGTTGAACCACCTTGCGCTTGTGTGTGAGAGCAAGATAGATTAATTATAAAAGAAAGTACAAGCTTTTATAAGATTACAGAGAATATGAAAAGATGCAATAACCGCTTTAATGTTGCAGTTGCGGTTTGATACAGTGTCGACTCGGGCAACTGCTCTGTAACGAGTCAGCTGTTTGTCCTTGCTGTCGCGCTGTATCTGTTGAGTCAAAGGTCTGGCGACCTTAGACCTTCGCGTAACCTCCAGAGGTTACATTTCCCGTCAACCTCCTCGGTTGACTCACCGCTGCTGCGCTGCAATTTGCTTCGCTTACGGTTCAGTGTTGCGACACAAAGAAGCGTTTAAGTTACGGTACTTGTTTCCAACAGGATCAAAGTTGAATGACATACCGTACCTAGTTCGATAAATAATCACTACCACAACAGTGTTATCACAGTTTTATCACAGTAGATGAGGGAGCATGTGGCCCTTCGCGGGAGTTATAGGTAGTAGCGCGCGAATAGTCTTGTGACTCTTGTTTTTTCTTTTAAGAACACGGGCTAAACTTTCAACCAGAGCCCTGCTCTGTGTCACTCCCCATCCCTCTAATTATACGTGCGTGCATGCCTGAAAAATGAACAGGGCAATACGAAGCCCTAACGCTTATATTCCCCCCTCCCCATCTCTCTACTTCTCTCGCCCTTCCACTGCACCTCTCTCCCTCCCCTCTGCCTTCCCCACTCCTCCGTCCCCATCACCATCCCCACCACCACCCAGCAGCCCCTTGGCCTCGGCCCTCGCGAGCACAAAGTCGGGGTAGTTGCGGTCGTTGAGGTTGGAGAGCCACGTGGCGAACACGTGGGTCTTGCGCTCCGTGCTCACGATGTGGGGGTACACCACCTCCTCCTTGAACCGCTCCGCCTGCTCCCTGAACGGCTCCAGCGTGACGAGGGGGTGCGAGGCGGCCCACTTGTTGTTGTACGCGGGGAACATGCACTCCACCAGGAACAGACCCAGCTCTGGTGCCAGGGGCACATTGTAGCGCTTGTCCCTGGGAGAAAGGAGCGAGTGGGAAAGGGTAGAGTGGGAGGGGAAGAGAGACACGGGGCTGTAAGAAAATGGGCTGTGGGCACTGGGCTGCTGCACACCCCCACATCCCAGCATACCCTCTGCTGCACATCCCCACATCCCAGCCCATAAGAGAGCACAAGCACGCACGCACAGAGCCCCTCACCTCCTGAAGGCATCGGTGAGCATCTGCTCGGGTGCGTGGCCTCTCATGACAGCGAGCACCATGCCGACCATCTTGCGGATCTGGTGCAGCATGAAGCTCTGCCCCACCACCACGCACTTCACGCACTCCATGCCCTCAATGCTCGTCACGCCCTCTGCAGCGAACGACACGATGTACCGCTTGGCCGCCGCGTCCTTGGCGCTGACCTTGACGGTGTAGTTGTGGAAGCAGTGCGTGCCCACGAACAGCCCCAGCAGGTGGTTTAGACGGGCCAGTGCCGCCGAGTCGAACGTGTAGGGCGGCGGGGTGAACACCGCAGGGAGAGGGGCGGGGGGCGTGGTGGGCTTGGGCTTGTCTTGTGCTTCTGCTGCTGGATTGTCCTCTGCTTTGTCTGATTGTTTGCTCTCTGCTTCTTTTGTGTTGGTATCAGCAGCTGTCAAGTCATCCTCCTTCTCTTTCCCCTGCTCCTTCTCCCCTTTTTCCGAAGGTGCAGAATCCTGTGCTGCCTCACTCTGTTCCTTCCCGTCCGGAACCTTCTCTCCCAACGACCCCTCCGCCTCGCCTCCCTGCGCGCCCTGCGCGTCCGCTGCGCCGTCCGGGTCCGCAATGAGGCCCATGCGCAGCAGGTACTCGCGGTCGCGGTGGGCCAGGGGGTTGAAGCAGAACGTCGGGATCACGTACTCGTACCTGCATGGGGGAGAGGGGGGTCACGGCGTGTGGAAGGGAGTTGGGCGGTGCGAGGGGACGGGAGTATGAGCGGGCAGGGCCGAGTGGAGCGGGGGAAATGAGCCATTCATTTGCACGAATTCCGATGAAGGTTTTTTGTCGGCCATCAAACGAGCACACACTGAGCGGTACTTGAGGTGCCTCAACCTCAGCTACTTGAGTCAGGAGCCCCTCAATCTCCTCACTTAGCTGTGCGCGTCACATCACATGTGCTGCTGAAACTTCATCCATTCTTTTCCGTCGTCCGCCACGATTGTCAAAATCCGTTTGATATTGTCACGCCATGCTTGAGCCACTCAGACAACATTCTCTCTACTCACTCGCCTGCAGCTGTCACAAACAGATGCTTCATTCGCTAGACACACATTCGATTCAGTTACGCACCTGCGTCGGTCGCACTGGTCCTTGGCGTTAAACCCTGCTGTGACATTAACGAAGCCCAGCAGCCGCACCTGGTGGTGACAGTACGGGGAAGGTGGGCGGAGGTTGAAAGGGGGACGTGGGAGAAATTGGGGTCGAGGGTTGAGTGGAACAAGGCTTGGGTAAAACGAGGGGGAATAGGGGTCCGAGGAATGAGGGATGGGGTAAAGGACGACAAGACAGACGGAATCGCCGTCGAAAGCAGGCGCGACGCACGGTGGTGCCACAGGGCTACGGAAAATCGGTAATCATCTCGGTACATCTCGGTAAACAGCAGCACTACCGCAAGGTCTAGGGTTTCGGGTTTATGCCCTCCACTAGCACTTTATTGGGTCCACAACAAAGGCCAACGTGAGGGCACTCGCCTGCTTGGGCAGGTGCTTATTAACGCGCTCCACGAAGCCCGGCGGGTCCAGCACGAGGCGCACGGACACCACCTGCCCGAGCGCGCTCACGCCCTTGTCGGTGCGCGCGGAGCGCATCCAGTCGATCTTCCAGAAGTCCCCCAGGTCGTTCTCCAGTATCGCCCCCGCGCGGTACAGCGCCTTCTCCAGTTCCCCCTCGATCGTGCGCGCGCCCGGGTTGCGCTGCATGCCCTGGTAGCCCGCGCCGCAGTACGCGATAAACAGCGCCACCTTTTTCTTTTTGTAATACTTTCGGTTGCGCTCTCTCTTCACGTCCTCGTCGTCCCCCTTCTCGCCATCGGCTGCCGTCTCCGCTGTTTCTCCTTTCTCCGATGCTCCTGCCTCCGATTTCATCCGTTTCGGTTCTCTCTCTGTGTCCCTCTTGACCCCTTGGTCATCATTCTTGTCTCCCGCCTTGACATCTAAACTTGCTTTCTCCTCCGTCCCTCTCGTGCTCTCCCCTCCTGCCTCTCCCTTCCCTTCCCTCGCCGTCTCATTCCCTTGACCACCCGCATCTACTCCCGCTTTGTCTTCCCCCGTCACTTCCCCATCTCTCGGACCTCCGGCATTCCCCTCCTCCGCTTTCCCCTCCGCTCCTTCACCTTCCGCCTCTCTCGGCCGCTTCTCTCGCGCCGCTGTGTCCGGCTCCGCCTGCGCGCGGTCGACGCCCATTTGCGAGATGAAGGCGGGCGATGCGGACTAGAGCAAGAGCGCCGAATGGAGCGCCTCGACAGGCGAGCGACGGCGTCAAATGCGCGCAGCAGGGAGAACAGTTTATGCGCAGGCAAACAAGTGTGACGTTAAGGACGTCTAAGTAGAGTTGGAGAGTACCTACTTAGAGTGAGGAACTCGCCGACACGACAGGGAGGACAACAAATGTCCGAAGCAGTAACGAAGAATACTATCGTTGAACCCTCGATGCAAAAATTCGGGGTTGCGCAAAAAGGTTTAGGTGAAACACACACACTTGTGACCTCGTTTCAACCAATGCTGGTCCAGACTAACTATGGAGTAGTACTTTTACTGTAATTGTATTAACGAACGAGGACTTGAATATATTATATTGATTTGAAATTGCTCATGAACCAATTCACCCACTGTATGAACTGAGAGTGAGGCATGTGCCTTTGGCGATTCAGGTGGTTTGTGAGCCGTACATACATGTGTTATCTCAGATCGAGCAGAAATGTTATCGCCATATTTGGGACATCAGGCAACTCAAAATATTCAGGACGTATCTTGGGTTCGGGTCATGAGCACTGTTCATACTACTGTACAGGGCATCCGCAATTAGCGCATGACCCAAACCCCCTCCCCAAAGCGCGCGCGATTCGAACCTCGGGTCATTCTCAAAATTGCATGCGACCGTCAAACAAAATGTCACCTCCACCAATCACAGTGCTGTGCGACCCCATGTAAGTGTGTCGGCGGTAATTGTGTCTCACAGATCTGGTTGATGGTACTGGTTGTCATGTGTCTCATGGTGAAACCCTAGCGTTGGGGAGATGGGTTGGGATGGGTTTTGGAACCGCGCAGATCTGAATGTGACCCTTCCCGCCGGGAATTTTGACGGTGGCGTGAGAGGGGTCAGTCGGCCTCACGGCCGGTGGTTGTTCGTGTTTGTGCATGTACGACTAGGCCCAATTGGACGCGACGTGTGTTACCACATTTTTTTATGGCGCGGAATTTTGCGCGCCAAACAATTTGTCGCATGGGGCGATTGACTCGATGATGGTGTAGCGTGTAGTCCCGGGAATCCGCGATTAGCGCATGCCCGGAACAGTGCTCATGACCCGAACCCAAGATACGCCCTCAGTGTTACCAAACCGTAACAGGCGCTTAGATAATCAGGCTCAGTACACAAAGGTCGCTGATAGTAAGATAATCAGTGAATTCAGGACTGTTAAGGGGGGATTTACTGTTCATTCCGAACAGTACTTTCCAAGTCACCCTTATCCTTATCTTCTCAGATTCTCTAGTGCCACGTGGCACTCTACTTTTCTTGCACTACAATTCTTGGTCCCACAATCCACTTTCCAACCTTGTTTCTTGCATGCTTTATAAACCTTGCTTGTACTTGGCATTATCAACCAATTCTCATTCAACTCTTCTTCAATTACTCAGTAACTCCTTCGCCTATTTCGCTAGTAGTTCTTTCGCCAAAGTCTTCCGCCGCGCTTCATCCTCGACTTAGTCGACCCCGCTAATTCTTTAGCGGATTTAGGCCAGCGGGCCTAACACTTGGTATCAAGAGCCTTCGCGGGGAGCGACTTCCAACGAGCGACCGTCGACGACGAGACTACGACGTCATCGTCCCGCGGTGCCGACTTGCAGACTTGGAGTCGTCGAGCGTGTTGAGAGAACTAGGCAAGAATGATTGAAAGGAGAGGGGTTTCACTAGCAGCAGTTGGGGTACATATAGCAAACCCTAACTGGGTTGTACTCGCTATAGAGCACCCCACTACAGGCTAGACAATAATAACATTCTGACACTTCGAGCTTAGGGAGTCTAGCTTTGGGTGTTACCACGGTTCCGACGACATGGGAAGGATTTGAAGCGGCGCTGAAAAGTAGGTTCGATTTGGTGAACGCCTCCGAAGCTGCTAGGAAGCGTCTGCGTCATTTCCGACAGATAGGCAACGTCCAGGAGTACACACGACGGTTCTTGAGCATCTGCAACGAAATAGACGACATCACGGAAGCAGAGATGCGCGATCGCTACCTCGAAGGGTTGAAGCCGGACATAGCGGAGATTATTGCGATTCACGGGTTGTCCACCTTCGAGTCAGTTGTCGCAGCAGCAGAACGCGTCGACGCAGTACGAAGCCGACGGGGTCGTGACGATCGCGATAGGGGATACAACAGACCGATCAAAGGAGCTCGATCGAGGGACGGACCATCGCCCATGGAGATTGGTGCAGTTAACAGTGACGGCCCACAACGTAACGGATTTAGGGGGAACTGTCACTACTGCAAAAAGCCGGGACACATGAAGCGGGACTGCCCACAGTTCAAGGAGCGGCAGCAGGGAAACGGAAACCGCCAGTAGATAGCGGGTCGCTAGCTGGCGTGGAGGTTCCCGTACCCGCCACGTCTACCAACGTAGAGGAGACGGCCTTGCAGCAGTCATCTACGGAGAACGAGGTAGACACTGTTGATCGTCCAGTCGTGCTTCTAGGGAAGCTTCGCGGAGTTCCTGTTAAGATTCTCGTCGATAGCGGAGCTAGCCACTCGTTCGTTTCATCTTCATTAGTTAGCCGTCTCCATCTTGAAGCAGATTCCTCAGTCAACTTCAAGGACGCACGTATGATAGATGGGACGCCTCTCCACATAGGACCAGTCATTCGCAAGTTGCGCGTAGTGCTAGGACCGATCACAGTTAGGCGTGACTTCGACTCTGCGACGCTGGACGGTTACGATTTCATCTTCGGGAGAGATTGGCTACGGACGGTTAGTACTCAGTTCGATTGGGCTCAGGGAAGCTGCAGCGTCAAGGTAGACGGGGAGTTCCGGGAGCTGCCACAGTGGAGCGATGGGGCCACATCATCCACAGCGATCATCAATGCTGTTCGTGTGCGACAGCTGGTGAAGCGAGCGGCACGGATCTTCGCGGTTTTCCTTGAGGAGGTGGAAGCTGAGGAGGGGAAAGGAGGGAGCGCAGCAGTTAGTGAGAAGGCGACTCTTCCTGCTGAGGTGAGTGCACTGTTAGCGGAGTTCGCAGACGTCTTCCCCGACGAGTTGCCCCCAGGGTTACCTCCTAGCCGAGCAGTCGACCATCGAATAGAGTTGGAGCCGGGGAGCAGGCCAGTAGCAAAGCCGCAGTGGAGGTTGAGTCCAGCAGAGACAGAGGAGATGACGCAGCAGGTTAGGCACTTTCTCGCACAGGGGTTCATACAGCCATCTAGATCGCCTTGGGCCGCACCGATCCTTTTCGCGCCTAAGAAAGACGGAGGGTTACGGATGTGCATAGACTACCGCGCACTGAACGCCGCCACCGTCAAGAACAGATTCCCGGTGCCGAGAGTAGAGGATCTTCTAGATGCAGTGCAGGGCGCTAGAGTCTTCTCCAAGATCGACCTTCGTTCGGGTTACCACCAGATTCGTGTAGTTCCAGAGGACCAGCACAAGACGGCGTTTCGTACGAAGCAGGGGTTGTACGAGTTTAGGGTTCTACCGTTCGGACTGACCAACGCCCCAGCGACGTTCCAGACGCTTATGAACACCGTCCTCTCCGAGTTCCTAGGTTCATTCGTTATCGTTTACCTAGACGACATACTCATCTTTTCCAAGTCGAAAGAGGAGCACGTGCAGCACTTGCAGAGGGTCTTTGAGGTCTTGCGGAGGGAGAAGCTGTACGCGAAGCAGTCGAAGTGCGAGTTCTTTCTCCCCGAGGTCGAGTTCCTAGGACACGTCGTATCCGCTAGTGGCGTTAGGACCGACCCGAAGAAGATCGCAGCGGTACAGGATTGGGTAGCACCGACCTCAGTCAAGGAGTTGCAGAGCTTTCTCGGATTCGCAAATTACTACCGTCGTTTCGTTCAGGGTTACGCTTCCATCGCTAGTCCACTCACCGACCTACTTCGGAAAGGCGTAGAGTACGTTTGGGGTCCAGCGCAGCAGCAGGCGTTCGAGCAGATGAAGCAGTCGCTCACGTCTTCACCGACACTGTCGTACCCTGATCCCACTCGCCCGTACGTTGTAGTGACCGACGCTTCCGATCAGGCCATAGGAGCAGTGCTTCTTCAGGACCAGGGACGCGGGTTGCAGCCGATCGCGTACGAGTCGCGTAAGCTTAGGGGAGCGGAACTGAACTATCCGATACTCGACAAGGAGGCGTTAGCGATCATCCATGCGTATAAGGTGTGGAGGTGCTACCTAGAGGGGGCAGACAGTGTTATACGCACGGACCACTGCTCGCTTCGCTTTCTCAAGTCGCAACCGCAGCTGAGTCGTCGCCAGGCTAGATGGATGGAGTTCATGGAGGGGAGCTTTCATTACAGGATAGAGTACAAGCCAGGCGTGCGCAACCCAGCAGATCCGCTCACTCGCCCTAGTTGCCAGCTCGCTAGTCTCACAGTCACTGCAGGCCATCCACTTCTCACAGCACTCTTCGAGCACGGTTACACAGTAGATCCCGACTTCACACCGCAGCCGCCCGCAGGAGCAGAGGTGCAGGGTAGTGTTTACATACGGAAGGGCACCACACGGATTTGGGTTCCAGCCTACCGCCCTCTTCGACAGCTCCTTCTCTCAGAGGCGCACGATGTAGTTAGTGCAGGTCACTTCGGAGCAGATAAGACGGCTAAGACGCTTAGTCGCACGTACTACTGGCCAGGGCTTGCAGCAGACGTAGAGGATTACATTCGCTCGTGCGACACGTGTCAGCGTACGAAGTCCTCTCGCCAGCGCAAAGCAGGACTTTTGCAGCCGATTCCACCGCCCGACCGCCCTTGGCAGGTAGTTACGATGGACTTCATCATGGCATTACCGCGCACAGTTAGGGGTCACGATGCCATCTTCGTGGTAGTGGATAAGTTTTCTCGAGCAGCGCATTTCATCCCCACGCACGGTCAGGTCACAGCAGAGGAAGCCGCGACGTTGTTCGTAGATAACGTAGTCCGACTGCACGGGGTTCCAGATTCCATCATCTCAGACCGCGACCCTAGATTCACCTCGAAGTTCTGGAAGCAGCTTTTCGCACTGTTTGGGACTCGCTTAGCCATGTCGTCTGCGTACCATCCAGAGACAGACGGACAGACTGAGCGCGTGAACCAGACATTGGAGCAGATCCTTCGCAGCATCACGATGCACGACGCAGCAGCATGGGACAAGAAGCTGAGCATGGCCGAGTTCGCATACAACAACACGCACCACTCCGCCACAGGCATGTCACCGTTCTTTGCACTGTACGGTCAGCACCCCAATGTCCCCACTCGTGTCGATCTCACACCCACTGTCCCTCGTGCTGATAACTTCCACCAGCACCTCACCTTCATTCACGACCACGTGAGGAAGCACCTTGAGCTCGCAAATGCACGCATGGCACGCACCACCAACCGCAGTCGTCGTGAGGTGTCGTTTTCAGTTGGTGACCGTGTCCTTCTCGATAGCCGCAACCTCCGACTGCCACAGGACAGCAAGCTTCGCCCACGTTTCATTGGTCCATTCGTCATTGAGCGCGCACTTGGTCCAGTCGCATACCGCCTTCGCCTTCCCGCTCATTTCCGCATGCACCCATCATTCCACGTGTCTCTCCTTCGGCCTTACACTGATCCCAACACCACCTTCTCGGGCCGTGATCGCACTCCACTGCCGGTAGCTGTTGACACCGACGAGCCCGACTACCAGATCCAGCGCATCCTCAGGCACCGTCGCCGTCTGCAGGGAGGTGTCTCTTTCATCGACTTCTTGGTTCGTTGGCGTGGTTACGATGCAGCCGACGACAGCTGGGTTCCTTCGTCCTCGCTGTCTCCCGACAACGCTTGTCTCCGAGCGTACCTTCAGTCTGCAGGCGCCGCGGACGTCGCCTCCTTGGGAGGGGGGTAGTGTTAAGGGGGGATTTACTGTTCATTCCGAACAGTACTTTCCAAGTCACCCTTATCCTTATCTTCTCAGATTCTCTAGTGCCACGTGGCACTCTACTTTTCTTGCACTACAATTCTTGGTCCCACAATCCACTTTCCAACCTTGTTTCTTGCATGCTTTATAAACCTTGCTTGTACTTGGCATTATCAACCAATTCTCATTCAACTCTTCTTCAATTACTCAGTAACTCCTTCGCCTATTTCGCTAGTAGTTCTTTCGCCAAAGTCTTCCGCCGCGCTTCATCCTCGACTTAGTCGACCCCGCTAATTCTTTAGCGGATTTAGGCCAGCGGGCCTAACAAGGACAAAAGCCAGGTACAGTAAGAGCCTGAACTTAAAACCCGGGTACAGCATGGGGTTTTCAAGTTCAAGATTCTTGAACTTGAAGTCGCCAATAACCGAGTTACCCTACTTGCCTTCAAACAACACTCGCGACCCCGGGCCATCGTCTTGCGACGACGGTTTCCTATTGGTCTGTGTTCTGTAAGGCAAAATCGAGGCGATCATCGCACGGAATATGCACTGTTCACCACTCACAAAACTTGAAAGCCAAGTTGTACTCATTAACTAGTAGGCTCCCCGGGCAGAAACTAGCACTATTGAGGCAAAAGCGAGCCGATAGCCCCATTTTTTTTATGTTCCCCGCGAAAGAGACATGAAGTCCAGCCGCAGCCGTGTTAGGGAGAGCTTTCTCTCATTCCACTTTCGCGTCGCCGGTCTCGTGTAACACCCCCCATTCGTGTCACTTACGTTAGTGAACGATGAAAGCGGTCACCCGCGCCTTGCTTACAACCTCGCGTCGCACACACAGGCTCGCATAACGCGCAATTGGTGCGGTTCAACATCGTGTCACGATCCTATTGTTTTAGGCACGGGTCACTCACTCGACCTCGCCTTCTCACTCGTACTCGCCTCGTCACTCGCTCGCCTCCTCACTCGATCTCGCCGCCCGTCACGCGCTTCCCCATCACGCGCGCATCCCCTCGTCACCCGCGCTTCCGCTCGCGTCCCGCGGGTACACTCGTCAACCGCGCTTCCCGTCGTACTGAGCGCAAACCGCCGTCACCCGCCCTTCACGTCGTCACCGCTCATCCGGGTCGTCGCTCGCCCTTCCCTTCGTCGCTTGCGCATCCACTCGTCACCCACATTTTCCCCCGTCAACCACGCTTCCCCCCGTCACCCACGCTTCCCTCGTCACTCGCGCTTCCCCTCGTTCCCCGCGCCTACCCAATTCGCCCTCAATGCCCTCGTCGATAGTGCCTCTTCAATTCGCCCTCGTTACTCCCCATCGCTCTTGCCTCCATTTTGAAAAACACCTGCCTCCATCCCCCCAGCACCTGAACCGCCTTCCCCCCCACATATCCCTCCCTCATTCCCCCCCACATATCCCTCCCTCATTCCCCCCCACATATCCCTCCCTCATTCCCCCCCGCATATACCTCCCTCATTCCATCCGAAGGGGAGGGACAGAGGGGGAGGGATAGCTTGAGAGGGACAGAGGGGGAGGGATAGCTTGGGAGGGACAGAGGGGGAGGGACAGAGGGGGAGGGACAGAGGGGGAGGGAGAGGGACAGAGGGTGAGAGACAGAGGGTGAGAGACAGAGGGTGAGAGACAGAGGGTGAGAGACAGAGGGTGAGAGACAGAGGGTGAGAGACAGAGGGTGAGAGACAGAGGGTGAGAGACAGAGGGTGAGAGACAGAGGGTGAGAGACAGAGGGTGAGAGACAGAGGGTGAGAGACAGAGGGTGAGAGACAGAGGGTGAGAGACAGAGGGTGAGAGACAGAGGGTGAGAGACAGAGGGTGAGAGACAGAGGGTGAGAGACAGAGGGTGAGAGACAGAGGGTGAGAGACAGAGGGTGAGAGACAGAGGGTGAGAGACAGAGGGTGAGAGACAGAGGGTGAGAGACAGAGGGTGAGAGACAGAGGGTGAGAGACAGAGGGTGAGAGACAGAGGGTGAGAGACAGAGGGTGAGAGACAGAGGGTGAGAGACAGAGGGTGAGAGACAGAGGGTGAGAGACAGAGGGTGAGAGACAGAGGGTGAGAGACAGAGGGTGAGAGACAGAGGCGGAGGGACAGAGGGGGAGGGACAGAGGTATCCCCTGCCCTGCTTCCCCCCATCCTATCCCTTCTTTCCCCGTATCCCCTGCCCTGCTTCCCCTCATCCTCTGACTTGCTTCCCCCCATCCCCACACCCTCTACCTGCTTCCCCCCATCCCGTTCTTTGCTTCCCCCCATCCCCTTCCCTGCTTCCCCCCATCCCCTTCCCTGCTTCCCCCCATCTTCTTCCCTGCGTCCAACCATCCCCTTCCCTGCTTCCCCCCATCCCCTTCCCTGCTTCCCCCCATCCCCTTCCCTGCTTCCCCCCATCCCCTTCCCCCCTTCGCCCCATCCGCTTCCCTGCTTCCCCCCATCCCCTTCCCTGCTTCCCCCCATCCCCTTCCCTGCTTCCCCCCATCCGCTTCTCTGCTTCCCCCCATCCCCTTCCCTGCTTCCCCCCATCCCCTTCCCCCCTTCGCCCCATCTGCTCCCCTGCTTCCCCCCATCCGCTTCCCTGCTTCCCCCAATCCGCTTCCCTGCTTCCCCCCATCCCCTTCCCTGCTTCCCCCCATCCCCTTCCCCTCTTCGCCCCATCCACTTCCCTGCTTCCCCCCATCCCCTTCCCTGCTTCCCCCCATCCCCTTCGTCGCTTTCCCCCATCCCCTTCCCTGCTTCCCCCCATCTCTCATTCCTTCACACCTTCCCTCATTCTTTCCCACCTACACGCATTCCTTCCCAGCCACATATAATTCCTTCTCACATTCCTTCCCACCCTCATGCACCCATTCCTCTCTCTCTCTTCTCCCGTACTCTCCTTCTCTCCTTCTCTCCTTGCACCCGCACTCTCACTCTCCTTTCTCCTGCACTCTCCCTTTCCTGCCCTTCCCTTCCCCATCCCTTCTCAACCCTTCCCTTCCTTTTCATGCCCTCCCCTTCCCCCTCACTCCTCACTATACTTGCTTTCATCATGTGCGCTTGCTTGTATCCCCTTGCCGTTGTTCCCTTGCACCTCACACCACCTCCCCCATGTTCCAGTGGTGAAGCAGAGGAGCAAGCTGAGGCGCAGCTAGTCGATGCTTTACACCGTGCCACCACCTGTTTCTTGTGTATGCAAGCATGATACTGTATTAATGTTGGAGATATCCATCTCGAAGGCACAATGTATACTTATGTTTCTGCAGTGCAAGATACTCTTCCAAGATGCATGGGCACTAAGAGTGTCAGAAGGGTACATAGAGGCATGTTCCTAGTACTTTTGATTGTACCTTTCCCCGGGCCTTGAAAATAACACGAGGGGAACTTGTTTCCCTATGGGCATGGCATGAGATGATGGGCTGAGGCGCGTTGCAGTACCAGAAAAACCTTCAGTGTAGTCACTGCTATAGCCAGGGAGAGGGAGGGAATACGAGGGATGCGGAGGAAGATCAGGAAAAAAAGGCAAACATGGGAGATAGGGGAAGCAGGTACAAACAGGGAAAGCAGGGAGGGAATTGAGGAGACGCAGGGAGGGAAATGAGCGGCAGCAGTGGGGGAAATGAGGGGAACCAGGTGGGGGGGGGGGAATGCGGGGAAGAAAGGGGGAAAATGAGGGGAAGCAGGAGGGTACAAACAGGGAAAGCAGGGAGGGTTATGAGGGGAAGCAGGGAGGGAAATGAGGGGAAGCAGGGATGAGGGGAAGCAAGGGGGAAAATGAGGAGAAGAAGGGAGGGAAATGAGGGGAAGCAGGGGAGGGAAATGAGGGGAAGCAGGGAGGGAAATGAGGGGAAGCAGGGAGGGAAATGAGGGGAAGCAGGGAGGGAAATGAGGGGAAGCAGGGAGGGAAATGAGGGGAAGCAGGGAGGGAAATGAGGGGAAGCAGGGAGGGAAATGAGGGGAAGCAGCGGGGGGGAAATGAGGGGAAGGAGAGGGGGGAATGAGGGGAAGCAGGTGGGGTAACGAGGGGAAGCAGCGGGGTAAATGAGAGGAAGAAGGAGGGAAAATGAGGGGAAGGAAAGGGGGAAATGAGGAAAAGCAAGGGCTTAAAATTAGGGAAATCAGGGGGGGTGAGTGGAAGGGCAGGGAAGCGAGGGCAAGGGATGGGCAGGTGGGAGAAGGGAAGCGGGATTGGAGGCGCGAGGAGGGGCAGCGCGACGAGGGTGCTGGCGCGCTGATGGCAGGGGAGGCGCGGCGAGGTGAGCGGAGGCACGGGGAGGCGAGCGGAGGCGCGGCGAGGCGGGCGGAGGCGCGGCGAGGCGGGCGGAGGCGCGGCGAGGCGAGCGGCGGCACGGCGAGGCGAGCGGAGGCGCGGCGAGGCGAGCGGAGGCGCGGCGAGGCAAGCGGAGGCTCGACGAGGCGAGCGGAGGCGCGGCGAGGCGGGCGGAGGCGCGGCGAGGCGAGCGGATGCACGACGAGGGAAGGCTTCTAGAAACGAGGGGAGGCGTGATGATGGGACAGGAGGCGCGGCGAGGGGAGGCGCGACGACGGGAGGCGAGGCACGAGAGGATGCGGGCTCCGCGTCGCACAGAACACGAGCTGCTAAATGCGACGAGCGGGTGCTGCTCGGCGCTCGGTGCGAGAGCCGAATCACGTCCGTTTTCTTCCCCCTGTATAGTCACAACGACTGAATTACACTCCTGGTTTCTCGTTGTGACTAGCTACCCGTAGTGTGTCCTCACTTTTTTTTCCCGTAAGTGCGATCGCGCTTGCACGTTCCTACACTTTGCTGTTGCCGGCTCCTGCGATGGTCGGTAAGCTAGTAATCTGGGGTAAGGATCGTCCCAAATGCGCTTTTGTTGTGGCGTTGGAGACTTCTAGTGGAGCCACTCTTTCCATGCTCGTTGCAAGACAGGATGTGTGCGACACATTTGTCGCTTTGGGTTGGTGGGATTCGCAGGTTTGGTGAGTGCGAAATGTTCACTTGTTTGCGGAGGAAAGTGTTCTCGCCTAAGGCAACCAACCGAAATAGGTTTCGCGGATCTCGCAAACAGCCTATTTCAAATCCACATAACTTGATAATTTACCATGCTGACCCCGGGCTTTAAGGGAGGGGTACAGCTGAGTGTTCTTTCAAGATTTCTGTTAAAAAGCTTTACACACATGTCCAGAGACAGAGCAGGTTGTGATAGCAGCACAGGATTGCACAGAACAAAACAAGAGTTAAATTGACAGAATATCGTTAAGTTGTGCTATGACCACGTCCATGGGCCCATCATCCAGCACCACAATATCAAACGACCTCTTATAGAGCTCCAACTGCCTGTCCACGTCATGGTTCAAGAACCCCACCGAGATCTGATTGCTGATGCTCACACCCTCCGACATCCCCAGGTCGCCCAGATGGTCGCCCAATAGAATCACATTCGTCCTGCTCCGCACCTCCGCCACCTCCTCTGCAGCCGTGATTGTACCAGCCTCTTCAACACCTTGTGGAGCCATGGTGAGCACCTGGGTGGCGGAACCTGGGTCTGTGTGTGCAGCTGTGGTGCTGGCATGGCCGTGAGTGTCAGAATCAGCAGCTGCAGAGGCCTCCTCCATGGCAGCGAGCTCCAAGGCGTGCTCGTTCTTGTTCAACACGTGGATGATGCGCCCTGCAGTGCACCGCAACACATGGCATGCCATGGCACGGCATGGCAAGGTAAGGCACGGCAGGGTATGGTGCAGAGGGGTACACTGAGCATGGATGCATGAGGCGGGTAGAGAGGTGAAGGAGAGGTTCGAACAGGAAAGGGTGAAGGAAAGAAGGCAGGACAGGTGGCGGACGACTGAAACATGAAGAACAGGCGTCTAGGCTGCCATGAAGAACAGGCGTCTAGGCTGCCATGAAGAACAGGCGTCTAGGCTGCCATGAAGAACAGGCGTCTAGGCTTCCATGAAGAACAGGCGTCTAGGCTGCCCATGAAGAACAGGCGTCTAGGCTTCCATGAAGAACAGGCGTCTAGGCTGCCCATGAAGAACAGGCGTCTAGGCTGCCCATGAAAAACAGTCGTCTAGGCTGCCCATGAAAAACAGGCGTCTAGGCTGCCATGAAGAACAGGCGTCTAGGCTGCCATGAAGAACAGGCGTCTAGGCTTCCATGAAGAACAGGCGTCTAGGCTGCCCATGAAGAACAGGCGTCTAGGCTGCCCATGAAAAACAGTCGTCTAGGCTGCCCATGAAAAACAGGCGTCTAGGCTGCCATGAAGAACAGGCGTCTAGGCTGCCATGAAGAACAGGCGTCTAGGCTTCCATGAAGAACAGGCGTCTAGGCTGCCCATGAAGAACAGGCGTCTAGGCTGCCCATGAAAAACAGTCGTCTAGGCTGCCCATGAAAAACAGGCGTCTAGGCTGCCCATGAAAAACAGGCGTCTAGGCTGCCCACGAACGAAACGTGAAGAGGCCATAAGCAAGCACCTGCTTGCACACGGGGACTTGTGGAACGACTGGGCCTTTGCCTGAACTAACCTGGAAAGGCGACGAGGCGTCCAGATTCATCGAACTGCATTCGGTTGGAGACGACTCGCACGTTGGAGAAGGAGCGAGGAAGCTGCTGGTGCAGCAGCTGAGAGATGGGCATCGGAGTGTGGGTGAATGTGAGTGGGTGTGAGTTGAGTAAGAGGGGCAGATGAGACGACAAGGAGACAGTGGGGGAGTGAGTGGGATGGAGCACACGTGCTGTGTGAGATGCACGGAAAGGAGTTGTGAGAGGGTGGTTCCAAGGGTGGTTGCAAAGAAGAGTATGAAAGGATGAGTGCATCCATGCTGCACACACAGCCATGCTGCACACACAGCCATGCTGCACACACAGCCATGCTGCACACACAGCCATGCCATGCACCGCACCTCCTCAATGACGTCAGCCAGGCCAGCAGAGAAGATGAGCAGTGGCACACCGTGGGCCTGGTCACGCACGAACCGAGGGAGGGGGGTGCACATGCAGGGGGGTGCACATGCAGGGGGGTGCACATGCAGGGGGGAACCATCATGAGTGCCGCGAGGTTGCTTATCCAGTGTGCTAAACCGTGAGGTTCAACGGACACTATTAGCAGAGTAAGTAATAATGAGTTGACATCCAACCAGTCGATGCCTGCAGCAAGGCCACCTCACCCACTCACCTCCAGCACTGCCACTCACCTGCAGCGCTGCCACTCACCTGCAGCACTGCCATTTTTGAGTCGACTCAAAAGTCATCTCAACCAGTGGCAGCACAAACAATGCATGCTGGCTGCAACGCCCCCCCACCCCTGCTCACCTCCAGCAGGGCCAGCATGTCGCAGAAGCCGACACGGAAGGCGGTGTTGGCAGCGGCCACACTCTGAGTGACGTCAGCACGCGTGATTCCACTCTCCAGCAGCAGCTCATGTGCTGCCGTCCACCTGCCACCATGGTTGATGCGCATGTGCAGTGGAATGGATACAGAGCGTGGTTGAGGACGTTGGTACCATAATGGTTATAACAATGCAACTTTCCAGTCACAGCTCATACACCACTGCTCATGTCCAGATGCTCGTGCACAGAGCAGTCAACTTGCACAGAGCAGTCAACTTGCACAGAGCAGTCAACTTGCACAGAGCAGTCAACTTGCACAGAGCAGTCAACTTGCACAGGGCTGCCCCGACAGCCAATTCCTTGCCACCATGCACCGGAGCTTGGTCTCATACGGCAGGTGCGGGTTTGTCTCCCGCACGTGGCAATGAGACCAAGCTCCAGTGCATGTACTTGGCTGCTAGCTGCATGCCCCTCGCCCCTACTCCATCACCCTATTCCATACACCTACGGGCATCCACCCACCATGCCACCATGCACTGCAGCTTGGTCTCGTAGGGCACGCTTGGGTCCGTGTCCACGGGCATGTATCTGGCTGCTAACCGCATGCCCCTCGCCTCTAAGTCGGGTCGGCCACAATACAGCACCATGTGGCAGCCTTGGGGAGGGAGGGAGGGCCCAGGGAGGGCGAAGCATATTGCGGCCACTGAACCAAACTGCAGCACCATTCCATTCCACCTCACCCATGCACTGCCCAACACGCAGCACGTGCCACCATGTGGCAGCCTTGTGGCCACCTTGGGGGAGGGGAAAAGGGTTCCACACATGCAGCACAACACACAGAGAGGCGTCAATGGCGCCATGCCCCTACAGGCAGCATAGCGCAGCACAGCACAGCACGCACCACTCGACCATGCATTTGAACTTCTCCTCGTAAGGCAAGTGCGGGTCCGTCTCCATGGGCAGGTACTTGGCTGTCAGCCGCCTGCCCCGCTCCTCCAACTCCGGGTGCCGCAGATTCAGCAGCATGTGGCAGCCTGGGAGAGGGGGGAGGGGAGGGGGTTGAGGGGCGATAGGGTTGAGGGGCGAGAGGGTTGAGGGGCGAGAGGGTTGAGGGGCGAGAGGGTGTGAAAGAGGGGAGAAGATGGAGGTTGGCACGCGAGAGGGATTTAGGTCCGAAAGAGGGGCGCGCGCCGCGCGATAGCGAGAATGAGGCGATTGAGGTAGCGAGAATTCAATGGCACATGGGTGCTGCCTTGCTTGCTCCTTCATCAACCTTACCTTGCTGCCGGCCCCTCCTCTACACATGACATGACTTATCCCCTCTCTGCCTCACCGCATCTGACTCACCCTCTCGCATGGTCCTTTATCGATATAGGCAATGATATACAGCGGGAGGGCAATACAGTAGGTACAGCGATCACAAGCAATTGTGGCAGAGACTACTGCACTAGACGACGGCACTAGACGACGGCACTAGACGACGGCACTAGACGACGGCACTAGACGACGGCACTAGACGACGGCACTAGACGACGGCACTAGACGACGGCACTAGACGACGGCACTAGACGACGGCACTAGACGACGGCACTAGACGACGGCACTAGACGACGGCACTAGACGACGGCACTAGACGACGGCACTAGACGACGGCACTAGACGACGGCACTAGACGACGGCACTAGACGACGGCACTAGACGACGGCACTAGACGACGGCACTAGACGACGGCACTAGACGACGGCACTAGACGACGGCACTAGACGACGGCACTAGACGACGGCACTAGACGACGGCACTAGACGACGGCACTAGACGACGGCACTAGACGACGGCACTAGACGACGGCACTAGACGACGGCACTAGACGACGGCACTAGACGACGGCACTAGACGACGGCACTAGACGACGGCACTAGACGACGGCACTAGACGACGGCACTAGACGACGGCACTAGACGACGGCACTAGACGACGGCACTAGACGACGGCACTAGACGACGGCACTAGACGACGGCACTAGACGACGGCACTAGACGACGGCACTAGACGACGGCACTAGACGACGGCACTAGACGACGGCACTAGACGACGGCACTAGACGACGGCACTAGACGACGGCACTAGACGACGGCACTAGACGACGGCACTAGACGACGGCACTAGACGACGGCACTAGACGACGGCACTAGACGACGGCACTAGACGACGGCACTAGACGACGGCACTAGACGACGGCACTAGACGACGGCACTAGACGACGGCACTAGACGACGGCACTAGACGACGGCACTAGACGACGGCACTAGACGACGGCACTAGACGACGGCACTAGACGACGGCACTAGACGACGGCACTAGACGACGGCACTAGACGACGGCACTAGACGACGGCACTAGACGACGGCACTAGACGACGGCACTAGACGACGGCACTAGACGACGGCACTAGACGACGGCACTAGACGACGGCACTAGACGACGGCACTAGACGACGGCACTAGACGACGGCACTAGACGACGGCACTAGACGACGGCACTAGACGACGGCACTAGACGACGGCACTAGACGACGGCACTAGACGACGGCACTAGACGACGGCACTAGACGACGGCACTAGACGACGGCACTAGACGACGGCACTAGACGACGGCACTAGACGACGGCACTAGACGACGGCACTAGACGACGGCACTAGACGACGGCACTAGACGACGGCACTAGACGACGGCACTAGACGACGGCACTAGACGACGGCACTAGACGACGGCACTAGACGACGGCACTAGACGACGGCACTAGACGACGGCACTAGACGACGGCACTAGACGACGGCACTAGACGACGGCACTAGACGACGGCACTAGACGACGGCACTAGACGACGGCACTAGACGACGGCACTAGACGACGGCACTAGACGACGGCACTAGACGACGGCACTAGACGACGGCACTCGGGTCCCTCCCTCAACGCAACTGAGTGCAGGAACGCCCTGATGCCAAGGGGCTCGAGGAAGGGGTGCACGGCACGGCAGTGGGTGGCGCCACAACGGCGGCGTGGGTGTTGGCGATCAGCGCATTCGCGCCCGCTGCAGAGCGCATGACCAGCGCTGGCCAGAGCTGTGGAACACCTTTGCTGCTTCCCTCCCTCGAGGAGGGCTCCGCGTTGAGGAGTCTCTTGGCTGCCAGGTCCGCACAGAGGCGCAGGAAAGGAACTCCAACACACCCGGGGGGAGCAGTGCAGCGGCCATGAGTATCGCCTGCCATGGCCTTCAACCCCACCCACTCCCATCCGTGGCGGCACTTGAGCTCCTTTGCCCTGGCTGCTATCCGTGCCGCCCACCCCACGCCGCGGGACGCTGTGGGGTGTTGGGTGGAGATAGGGTGTGTGACAGTGACGTCACAGATCCACACGGCGCCAGAGTCAGGGTGGCGGATGGCGATGTCGGCCTTCAGTCCCTCCCACAGGACGGGGGTGTACAGTGTCGTCTCGCGCTGCGCGGCGAAGCCTGAGTCGACCGCGATTCTAAGGACGCGTCCCCTCCATCAATCGATCCTGCCCTCGATCGATCGAGGGACAGCTACAATGTCGCAATTGACAGGGTAACCGGAGTTCGAGATGGCTTGCAAATTTACAGTAACTGGCGCTCAACGATCTTGTCACCTCCGCTGATGACGGTTCGATGTGCCTTCCTGACCACACCGATCTCAGCTTTTGTAGGATCGAGTGTTTTTCCCCCTTGTATTTTCGATCCAGTCACCCTGGGCTCGAGATCGATCCGCGAGTGTCACCTCCTACCAATCCCGCCCCAATCCTGCGATCGGTGTGCCCGATCGGTTTTTCACCACGATCTCGCGATCGATCGAGGGAGGGGACGCGCCCTAAGCCTGAGTCGGCGTGTCGCGCAGCGCAGGGCGTGGTGTGTCCCTGTGCGCCCTTCCCCCGTTCCGCACCGCAGCAGGTGGTTGGTTGGGGAGCCTGGTGTCCAGTATTTCAGTTTGACTCACCCTCTCTGCCTCACCATATCTGCCTCACCCTCTCTGCCTCACCATATCTGCCTCACCCTCTCTGCCTCACCATATCTGCCTCACCCTCTCTGCCTCACCATATCTGCCTCACCCTCTCTGCCTCACCATATCTGCCTCACCCTCTCTGCCTCACCATATCTGCCTCACCCTCTCTGCCTCACCATATCTGCCTCACCCTCTCTGCCTTACCGTATCTGCCCCCCCTCTTTGCATTACATCCCCACCTTACCCGCACCTTCACACAATCCTAGCCTGTCCAGGCCCACATGCTCTGGCAAGCCCTGCACTCACTCTGCCCCGGCTTCCCGTTGACTGTGAACTTGGTGAGCGTGCGGTCGAAATCCGCTATCACCTGAACGGGTGGGGGATGACGGGGGAAAGGGGGGGATGAGGGGGAAAAGGGGGGAAGAGAGGGAGGGGGGAGGGGGGGGGGGGGGGCAGCGAGAGGAGGAATCTGAAAGTGTAACGCAACGCATGCCTGAGGCAGACAGCAGATAAAAGAGTGCTGCATTAGAAAGTCGCCATTAACGTGCTCGCTTGCAGCGGGCGACATGATGATGGAAAGAAGATAAGAGAATAAAGAGGGCATAATCAGGAACCCTTCGTGGACAAGCTCGCAGCATACGGCACTGCAACGACGGATTTCAATTCAAGCTCACCTGCACTGTATCGCGCCCTGCTGCTCTCATCGCCTGCTTCTTCCGCTGCAGTTCCTCTATATCGCGCATAACCACACCCTTCGGAATACCACTCGTAATAGGCACACCGGATCCACCACTGCTGGTAGTTCCTCCAATGCTACCCTCCACTGGCGAAGGCATGCTGACCGGCTTGGACAACAACACAGCAGGCTCGGATTCCGAACCACTTGGCTCGAAAGCTGAGGCTGTATGTTCTAAACCAGCCGTGGCTGAGGCAAGCAGCGACGGAGAAGATCGTGCTGCGAGTGATCTGAATTTACGTACGAGCTGGGTCCGACCCGAGCTTATTCGTTCCGAGACGAATCCCCCGGGTTTGCAGGGGTCGGCGAGCCTGTGATAACGTGGCGCGGAGCTAATCGATCTCGACCGTTGGGCAGAGAAATAGCACGTGAAAGGGATTTGCAATCCAGATATCGGCGACGAGAGTGCGGCGTGTAACTGAGATTTGCGAAACGGAAGCGCGAGAAGCGGGAGAGAGCAGCTCGGGACTGCCCGTTGGAGAGCTTGAAAGAGAGGTCCAGCGAAGCTAGAGTTGCGTGGCGACGGGCGCCGTGGAATGTAGTTGAGAGGGCGATGGCAGGAGGCCATGGCTCGTGCGAGATGGCGACATGAGGGAAGACGCTGCGATAAGCAAGCAGGCATGCAGCGAGCAGGCTTGCGTTCCGAGACTTGCGTGATACCTCACGGGGAAAGTGCGCGTGCCAAGGCTTGGAGTAAGGTCGCGGCACCGAAGCCTTGCGGTTCAATATCGTATTCAAACGAAGAGAACGCCGGGTTTCACCTTTCTGTGACCTCAACTCAATTATAGCGACAGGTAACTACACTGCGACTTGCCGTTGCCGTTGGATGTACTTCGTTGTAGCTTTCTGAACGAACAATATATGTGAAACGCACTTCCGCAAAATAGCAGTCTACGTCATTCTTGTCCGTAACGAGCCATCACTTTCGCGTATGCCTTTCCCTCCCTTCCCAAGCGTGCCAGCAGCACCCGCTGATCGCGCCGCACAACGGCACAGACATGGCTTGAAGCCCTTTCCAACCGTTCATTTCGCCACTCCCCTATGGCTCTATCGTCCACCTCGGCCGTCGCGCGCCAACTCGCCGCCGCTCGAGTGTCCACATTCACTGCATCCTCCTCGCAAATCCGCACACACCACGTGCCCTCTCGCAACCCTCTAGCATCACTTTCTCCGTCCACGTCTCCGCGCGGTCCTTACACCGACACTAGGCAGAGTATCCGCGCTACAAGCATCCCGGAAAATTCGCTATCGTCATCGCGGCTAGCGCGTGGCAGGCGCGGTTCAACAGCAGCGATCAGCTTCTCCACTGGCAGTCGCGCAGATCGGTCGCTGCTCTCCGCCGATCGTCGCACGCCCTTTTCCCCTGCAACTAGCACGAGGGTAAGATTCTCGTGACAACGCATGTCGAGACGCGGTTGATCCCATGTTTCAGTTCGCAGGCTCTCCAACAGTGCCTCTACGGAATGACGGCTGCAGTGGTCCGCAGCCGCATCTGCCGTCAACGGTCTTCTAAAGGCTTGAATTGAAAGAGAACCATTCTGCTCGTGACTTGTTTTCTTGGCTCTCCGCTCTCCTCGTGCCTGCCAAAGAACCTATTTCTTCGTTCCTGCGTCTCCATGTCATCTCCACCTCATGCTGACGTGCAGGTGCCAGCTCAACATCTCGGTATCCGAGCTGCTGACTCAGCACCCGGAGGCAGCAACAGCGGCAGCGTCAGCGGAAGGAGAGAAGGAAGCTTCTCAACAAGTGCAACCAGATTGCAAACAGAAGCAGGGAGCGGAGCAGAGGCAGCGGGCAGTGAGGCAGAGGGTACAAAGGGGGTGGGGGCAGAGGCGACGGCAGCAGCAGCTCGGGCAGCAGCGGAGGCGAATCCGCCGAGGATGTTCTTCTCGTCTGTGAGCGTGGACCGCGCAGGGCACTACAGGAACGATGCTGCCTGGCTTAAGGAGGCTCTTGGCAAGCCAACCACCGTGGTATGGCGTGGTGTGGCGTGGTGTGGCGTGGCGTGGCGTGACTGCTCCAAGTGTGAGGCTGTGGGGATACCATCCACCGTGGTGTGAGGCTGTGGGGGGGCTATGAGGCGCGCATGGGGTGCACTGCAATGCAATGCGTGACTAGTGAACCCTCGCACCCAGTTTGGCATGACCTAATCGGCATGCCATGGCAGAGCACGACGATGCACATGTGTTGTGTTGTGTTGTGTTGTGTTGTGTTGTGTTGTGTTGTGTTGTGTTGTGTTGTGTTGTGTTGCGCTGTGTTGCGTTGTGTTGTGTTGTGTTGTGTTGTGTTGTGTTGTGTTGTGTTGTGTTGTGTTGTGTTGTGTTGTGTTGTGTTGTGTTGTGTTGTGTTGTGTTGTGTTGTGTTGTGTTGTGTTGTGTTGTGTTGTGTTGTGTTGTGTTGTGTTGTGTTGTGTTGTGTTGTGTTGTGTTGTGTTGTGTTGTGTTGTGTTGTGTTGTGTTGTGTTGTGTTGTGTTGTGTTGTGTTGTGTTGTGTTGTGTTGTGTTGTGTTGTGTTGTGTTGTGTTGTGTTGTGTTGTGTTGTGTTGTGTTGTGTTGTGTTGTGTTGTGTTGTGTTGTGTTGTGTTGTGTTGTGTTGTGTTGTGTTGTGTTGTGTTGTGTTGTGTTGTGTTGTGGTGTGTTTGTTCTGCAATGTATGGTATGACGATGTTAGTCAGCACGACATGACGTGGCTTTTGTTCTGGCATGGCGTGATGGCATGGTATGCCGCATCATCCGGTCCCATTTACGTGGATTACGTACGCAGGTAATCCATCGTCCACGGAACCCACGTGCGATGCGCCGATGCGAGCATGTGATGATGAAGTACGTGTTGCCTGCCCATCTATCTGATCCTCATGCAGGCATCATGCTGTTCCACACATGAGCTCTGACATACATGAGTTGTGCACATAAGAGAGTGCAAGGATCATACTTCACGCGTACCACATGCCATGCCCATCCATGTTCCCATCAGGTCATCCCATGGAGCCATGGTCGGTCGTTGATCAAGGATGGCCGGGCAGTCCTCGCCTCGCCTGCTGACATCATCGTCAGCCCCGCCACCACCACTGCAACTCACGGCGTTGCTGCCTCTCATGGCGCTGCTGATGCCGCCACCACCACCACCACAACCAGCACCAGCACCAGCACCAGCAGCACCAGCAGCAGCAGCAGCAGCAGCAGCAGCGGTACAAGGGGCACGGGAGTGGAGCCATTTTGCTTCCTGGGGCTCCTCATGCCGTCAGGCCATGCTGCCTTCGCTGTTGCTGTTGAGTGCGTGCCTCCTGCATTCACCCGCTGCCATGTGATGCCATCTGTTCGCATCTGATCTCATTCCATCTCATCTGGTCAGCCTGTGTCAATCTCGTTTACCCCGACACCCTCACTTTCACCTCGCTGCTGTCCCATCACCAACACCAAAGATTGTCATTCTCTCCTCTCCTCTCCCCACTACGCCCACACGGCTGGCCCCAAGTGATCTCCTACGTTCTCGAACTTACCTGCGTGGCGCGCCTCACCCCATGCCCTGCCCTGCGCGTCCAGAAGCCAACCCTGCCCCTCGCCGACCAGTACTCACCCTCTTACCCATCTCCCTCACTCACTCCCCCACCTGTCCCCCCATCCTCTCCCACAATACCCCCCCAGCGCTGCCCCATCGCCTCAAGACGCCTCTGCGGCGCCTCTCCCCACGTACACCCCCCCTGAGGGCGCGCAGTGGGTGTCGCTGCGCTCGCAGGGACCAACGCTGCCCGCCTTTGATGCGGGGCTGCTGGCGTATGCCAACGGGCTCATGGAGTGGCACAGCTGCCATGTGAGTGGGCTGAGCTGCATGAGTGGGCTGAGCTGCATGAGTGGGCTGAGTCACGCAGTGGTGGCACTGGGGCTGCTGCCGAATGGTGGCCTGTGAGTCACAGGCGATGACGCGCGGCTGCTGGCATCTGCCGGTGGACCGATGGACCGGCACAGCCGCCATGTGAGAGGATTTGCGTCCCAATGACGCGATGGTTCAGAGAGTAGTGGCGTGTGATTCTCACACTGCGAGCCACAGGCTATGATGTGCGGGCTGCTGCCGTACGCATGTGCTCATGGACTGGCACAGCCGGCACCTGAGTAAATCGAGCAACGCAATGCTGACTCCTTAGGGCACTTGAAGGTGGATGGCATACAAGTGCCTTGTGAGTCACCTGCTGTGAGACTTGGGCTGCTCAACTGGACTGCACTGCCCTGCCCAGTGGTGTCGTGGCATCGTATGGCGCTCAGGGTGGGGAGCAGTGGCCTGCGGGTCACTGGCCACCCACATTGTCCAGTTTGATGAATACAATCACAATACAATCACAGTGCAATCACAGTGCAATCACAGTGCAATCAGCTAACAGAGATAGAAGTCATTGGAACAATCAGAGTAGTTGCTGATTGTTTTCCTCCCTTTCCAACACACGTGTTTGTTCGACATGTGTTGATCCTCTCATCTTCTGTCACTCTCTGTCCGCTCTTCTTTTTACACTTCTCCTTCGCTCACACTGTTCGTTCCCTCTCACTATCTTCTCCCCCATTTGGCTGTTTTCCTTCCAGCTCTTCTACTTGCAATGCACCACTCTTCTCGGCAGAGAAAGGGTCAATTTACTCCACACCAGGCCGAGGGGGTGCGTTACACACCCCCCTCTAATGCGCTTGCCCGCCCCTGTCTTGTGCTCCCCTCGTCCTGCCTCCATCAGCGCTTCTGCTCGCAGTGCGCGGCGCCTCTCATCCCAGCAGAGGGGGGCTACGCCAGGCGCTGCACCAACTCCTTTCCCGCCCCTCCTGGCCCGCCTGCTGCCGCTGTGCCTCCCTCTTCTCCTGCTGCTGGGCTGGAAACAGCAGCGGATAGCGGCAGCACAGCACAGCCGTCATCAGCAACGGCAGCAGCAGCAGCATCGCCTGCTGGGAAGCCCAAGTGCTCCTCGCCCATCATCTTCCCTCGCCTAGTGAGTGGGCCAGAGTGAGCTGGCAGAGTGAGCTGCTGTGTCGTCGTCATCCCCATCACCATAATTGCTGGTGTTGTCTTATAATTCTCGTCATGCTGCCCTAGCTTCCCCTCTCCCATTTGTTCTTCTTCTCTTCACCTTCCTCCCCTCCACTCCCTCGATCTTACCGTCCTCTCCCCTCCCCTCCCCTCCTCTCCCCTCCCCTCCCCTCCCCTCCCCTCCCCTCCCCTCCTCTCCCCTCCCCTCCCCCCTCTCCCCTCCCCTCCCTTCCCCTCCCCCTCCTCCCCTCCCTTCCCCTCCCCTCACCTTTCCTCCCCTTCCCGCCCCACCCACTACAACGCGGCACACAGAACCCAGCAGTGATCATGTGTGTCTCGTGGGGCGACTATGTGCTGCTGGGCAGGAAGGTGAGGCAGGTGCAGCGTGCGTGCCTGGAAGAGCGGGTGGCATCGGTGGAAGGATGGGTGGGATGGGTCGAAGGAGGGGGTGGTGTGGGTGGGAGGGGATGTTGGGGATGGGTGTGTGGAAGTGGTTGCAACTTGCCATGGGATGGGATGGGATGGGATGGGATGGGATGGGATGTGATGGTGTGGGATGGGATGGGATGCACGATGGGTGGCAAATGGTTGGTGAAGACCATTACTTCTGCTGCTGAGACTTCTTCTGCTGCTGAGACAACCCTTCCCCCCTCTTTTCTCTCTTCCCCCCCACCCCCACCCCCCCCATTCCAGTCGCGCTGGCCGCAGGGGCGGTACTCAGTGCTGGCGGGGTTCGTGGAGGTGGGGGAGACGTTTGAGATGGCGGTGGTGCGCGAGGTGTGGGAGGAGGCCAGGGTACATGTTGACCCTCACACGCTCCGGTGGGTACATGTTGACCCTCACACGCTCCGGTGGGTACATGTTGACCCTCACACGCTCCGGTGGGTACATGTTGACCCTCACACGCTCTGGTGGGTACATGTTGACCCTCACACGCTCCGGTGGGTACATGTTGACCCTCACACGCTCCGGTGGGTACATGTTGACCCTCACACGCTCCGGTGGGTACATGTTGACCCTCACACGCTCCGGTGGGTGCACACACTGCCACGTGCAACTGCAATAGCCCTTGGGATTAAACATGAGCAAGTGAGGAACCACAACCTTTCTACTCAAACTGGGTCCAACGGGCCAGATTGTCTAACCGAACCGAAGCAGTGCCGGTTGGGGTCAAATCTGCAGGGATCTCTCTGCCACTTGGCCTGACCCGATTGGTCGAGCTGCCGCAGATTCAACCCGAACCCTGCAGGTTTGGGTCGAATCGATACGAGTTTGGTCCCCATGCATGGTAACGCCCCGCCGGTTTGGTTTGATGTGGCTGGGAACACATAAGTCAAAGCCGGCTGAACCGGCTTGCTTCAAGCCAGCATGCTATCATGCCTACTTCCTATCATGCCTACTTCCTATCATGCCTACTTCCTATCATGCCTACTTCCTATCATGCCTACTTCCTATCATGCCTACTTCCTATCATGCCTACTTCCTATCATGCCTACTTCCTATCATGCCTACTTCCTATCATGCCTACTTCCTATCATGCCTACTTCCTATCATGCCTACTTCCTATCATGCCTACTTCCTATCATGCCTACTTCCTATCATGCCTACTTCCTATCATGCCTACTTCCTATCATGCCTACTTCCTATCATGCCTACTTCCTATCATGCCTACTTCCTATCATGCCTACTTCCTATCATGCCTACTTCCTATCATGCCTACTTCCTATCATGCCTACTTCCTATCATGCCTACTTCCTATCATGCCTACTTCCTATCATGCCTACTTCCTATCATGCCTACTTCCTATCATGCCTACTTCCTATCATGCCTACTTCCTATCATGCCTACTTCCTATCATGCCTACTTCCTATCATGCCTACTTCCTATCATGCCTACTTCCTATCATGCCTACTTCCTATCATGCCTACTTCCTATCATCTCTCATGGTTGCTTTCACACAATGACATTTGTCCCGTCCCTTCCCTGCATGGAGGGAAAGGTCACTACATGTACTCCTCCCATGTACTTGTGTTCCTCTTGTCCTTTTGCCTCTCCTTTCCTCATCTCCCCCACCCTCCGCTCAAGTATCTCACTAGCCACCACCCATGGCCACCAGCCATAGCCACCACCCATGGCCACCAGCCATAGCCACCACCCATGGCCACCAGCCATAGCCACCACCCATGGCCACCAGCCATAGCCACCACCCATGGCCACCAGCCATAGCCACCACCCATGGCCACCACCCATGGCCACCAGCCATAGCCACCACCCATGGCCACCAGCCATAGCCACCACCCATGGCCACCAGCCATAGCCACCACCCATGGCCACCAGCCATAGCCACCACCCATGGCCACCAGCCATAGCCACCACCCATGGCCACCACCCATGGCCACCAGCCATAGCCACCACCCATGGCCACCAGCCATAGCCACCACCCATGGCCACCACCCATGGCCACCAGCCATGGCCACCACCCATGGCCACCACCCATGGCCACCACCCATGGCCACCACCCATGGCCACCACCCATGGCCACCACCCATGGCCACCACCCATGGCCACCACCCATGGCCACCAGCCATGGCCACCACCCATGGCCACCACCCATGGCCACCAGCCATGGCCACCACCCATGGCCACCACCCATGGCCACCAGCCATGGCCACCACCCATGGCCACCACCCATGGCCACCAGCCATGGCCACCACCCATGGCCACCAGCCATGGCCACCAGCCATGGCCACCACCCATGGCCACCACCCATGGCCACCAGCCATGGCCACCACCCATGGCCACCAGCCATGGCCACCACCCATGGCCACCAGCCATGGCCACCACCCATGGCCACCAGCCATGGCCACCACCCATGGCCACCAGCCATGGCCACCAGCCATGGCCACCACCCATGGCCACCACCCATGGCCACCAGCCATGGCCACCACCCATGGCCACCACCCATGGCCACCACCCATGGCCACCACCCATGGCCACCACCCATGGCCACCAGCCATGGCCACCACCCATGGCCACCACCCATGGCCACCACCCATGGCCACCACCCATGGCCACCACCCATGGCCACCACCCATGGCCACCACCCATAGCCACCACCCATGGCCACCACCCATAGCCACCACCCATGGCCACCACCCATAGCCACCACCCATGGCCACCACCCATGGCCACCACCCATGGCCACCACCCATAGCCACCACCCATGGCCACCACCCATGGCCACCACCCATGGCCACCACCCATGGCCACCACCCATGGCCACCACCCATGGCCACCACCCATGGCCACCACCCATGGCCACCACCCATGGCCACCACCCATGGCCACCACCCATGGCCACCACCCATGGCCACCAGCCATGGCCACCACCCATGGCCACCACCCATGGCCACCACCCATGGCCACCAGCCATGGCCACCACCCATGGCCACCACCCATGGCCACCAGCCATGGCCACCAGCCATGGCCACCACCCATGGCCACCAGCCATGGCCACCACCCATGGCCACCAGCCATGGCCACCACCCATGGCCACCACCCATGGCCACCACCCATGGCCACCAGCCATGGCCACCACCCATGGCCACCACCCATGGCCACCACCCATGGCCACCACCCATGGCCACCACCCATGGCCACCAGCCATGGCCACCACCCATGGCCACCACCCATGGCCACCACCCATGGCCACCACCCATGGCCACCACCCATGGCCACCACCCATGGCCACCACCCATAGCCACCACCCATGGCCACCACCCATAGCCACCACCCATGGCCACCACCCATAGCCACCACCCATGGCCACCACCCATGGCCACCACCCATGGCCACCACCCATAGCCACCACCCATGGCCACCACCCATGGCCACCACCCATGGCCACCACCCATGGCCACCACCCATGGCCACCACCCATGGCCACCACCCATGGCCACCACCCATGGCCACCACCCATGGCCACCACCCATGGCCACCACCCATGGCCACCACCCATGGCCACCACCCATGGCCACCACCCATGGCCACCACCCATGGCCACCACCCATGGCCACCAGCCATGGCCACCACCCATGGCCACCACCCATGGCCACCAGCCATGGCCACCAGCCATGGCCACCACCCATGGCCACCAGCCATGGCCACCACCCATGGCCACCAGCCATGGCCACCACCCATGGCCACCAGCCATGGCCACCACCCATGGCCACCACCCATGGCCACCACCCATGGCCACCAGCCATGGCCACCAGCCATGGCCACCAGCCATGGCCACCAGCCATGGCCACCAACCATGGCCACCACCCATGGCCACCACCCATGGCCACCACCCATGGCCACCAGCCATGGCCACCAGCCATGGCCACCAACCATGGCCACCACCCATGGCCACCACCCATGGCCACCACCCATGGCCACCACCCATGGCCACCAGCCATGGCCACCAGCCATGGCCCTTCCCACCGCCCGTCATGCATGCATACACTCCACCTGCCGTGCGCTCTCCAACCAACCACCACTCCGCGGCCCCTCTTCCGTGTCATGTATCCTCCTCCTCTACCGCTAAAACACCAGCCAGCCATGCTCCTTCCCTCATGCTCGCATTCACTGCTCAACCACAGCCTCCAACCCCTCCCGCACCCCTTTTTCGTACTCCCCTTCTCTCCCCCTCTCTCCCCCACCCTCGTTATCAGGAGCCAGCCATGGCCCTTCCCTTCATCCCTCATTCAGCATGCTCGCATACACCCTTCAAGCACCATCCTCTCCAAACCCACCCCACCCCTTGTTCGTACTCCCCTTCTCTCCCCCCCTCTTTATCAGGTACAACGCGAGCCAGCCCTGGCCCTTCCCCGCATCCCTAATGGTGGCCTTCACAGCTCAGGCCCTGCCCTCGGGCCCGCCTGCCATGGCTCTATCTCAGCCGGACTACGGGCTTACGGGGGAGGAGAGGGGCGCTGCACTGGTGCCGTGGCAGCAGCTGCCTGTGGCGCGCACCGACAGCAATGAGCTGGAGGTGAGGCGTGGGTGCATGATCATGGGTGTATGATAATGGGTGTATGATCATGGGTGTATGATCATGGGTGTATGATCATGGGTGCATGATCATGGGTGCATGATCATGGGTGCATGATCATGGGTGCATGATCATGGGTGCATGATCATGGGTGCATGATTATGGGTGCATGATCATGGGTGCATGATCATGGGTGCATGATTATGGGTGCATGATCATGGGTGCATGATCATGGGTGCATGATCATGGGTGCATGATCATGGGTGCATGATCATGGGTGTATGATCATGGGTGCATGATTATGGGTGCATGATCATGGCTGCATGATCATGGGTGCATGATCATGGCTGCATGATCATGGGTGCATGATCATGGGTGTATGATCATGGGTGCATGATTATGGGTGCATGATCATGGGTGCATGATCATGGGTGCATGATCATATGGGTGCATGATCATGGGTGCGTGATCATGGGTGCGTGATCATGGGTGCGTGATCATGGGTGCATGATCATGGGTGCATGATCATGGGTGTATGATCATGGGTGCATGATCATGGGTGCATGATTATGGGTGCATGATCATGGGTGCATGATCATGGGTGCATGATCATGGGTGCATGATCATGGGTGCATGATCATGGGTGCATGATCATGGGTGCATGATCATGGGTGCATGATCATGGGTGCATGACCATGGGTGCATGATCATGGGTGCATGACCATGGGTGCATGGGCGTGGGTGTATCGGCGTGGGTGCATGGGCGTGGGTGTGGGAGCAATGCAATGGAGAGGCATGCATGTGTGGCATGGGCATGGGGCGTGCATGGGCGCGTGGCGTGCATGGGCGTGGGGCGTGCATGGGCGTGGGGCGTGCATGGGCGTGGGGCGTGCATGGGCGTGGGGCGTGCATGGGCGTGGGGCGTGCATGGGCGTGGGGCGTGCATGGGCGTGGGGCGTGCATGGGCGTGGGGCGTGCATGGGCGTGGGGCGTGCATGGGCGTGTGGCGTGCATGGGCGTGGGGCGTGCATGGGCGTGTGGCGTGCATGGGCGTGGGGCGTGCATGGGCGTGGGGCGTGCATGAGCGTGGGGCGTGCATGGGCGTGTGGCGTGCATGAGCGTGGGGCGTGCATGGGCGTGGGGCGTGCATGGGCGTGGGGCGTGCATGGGCGTGTGGCGTGCATGAGCGTGGGGCGTGCATGGGCGTGGGGCGTGCATGGGCGTGGGGCGTGCATGGGCGTGGGGCGTGCATGGGCGTGGGGCGTGCATGGGCGTGGGGCGTGCATGGGCGTGGGGCGTGCATGGGCGTGGGGCGTGCATGGGCGTGGGGCGTGCATGGGCGTGGGGCGTGCATGGGCGTGGGGCGTGCATGGGCGTGGGGCGTGCATGGGCGTGGGGCGTGCATGGGCGTGTGGCGTGCATGGGCGTGGGGCGTGCATGGGCGTGGGGCGTGCATGAGCGTGGGGCGTGCATGGGCGTGGGGCGTGCATGGGCGTGGGGCGTGCATGGGCGTGGGGCGTGCATGGCCTCCACCCCTCCACCCCTCCACCCCTCCACCCGTCCAGCCTTCCAACCTTCCAGCCATGGTCGTTCAGAGAATAGAGCTGCTGCACACCCCTGCCCCTTCCCTCTGCCATGCTTCCCTCTCCCTCCCCCTTCTGCCCTTCAGGATGCGCGCTGGTTCCATCGGGACTTCATTCGAGCGCTTCTCAACGACTCCGCCTGCAACACCTGGCTGCAGCAGCCGCTTGCTGGTGAGACGAATCTAAGCGGCGGTGGTGAGACGATTTTAATTGGCGCTGGTAAGACACTTTACAGGACGAGTCTTAGTGACGGTGGTGAGACGAGTATAAGTGACGGTGGTGAGACTAATCTAACTAAGTGACGGATGTAAGACAGTTTTGAGAACTGCCAAAAGTGGCTAAAATATGATTGCATGGCAACATCTTCGTGGACTAGAACAAGAGTCAAATGTTGCCTCAATCCAAGGACCCATCTGTGTCCATTTGCTATGGTTCATCCACCCCTGTCCACTTGCTATGGTTCATCCACCCGTGTCCACTTGCTATGGTTCATCCACCCGTGTCCACTTGCTATGGTTCATCCACCCGTGTCCACTTGCTATGGTTCATCCACCCGTGTCCACTTGCTATGGTTCATCCACCCGTGTCCACTTGCTATGGTTCATCCACCCGTGTCCACTTGCTATGGTTCATCCACCCGTGTCCACTTGCTATGGTTCATCCACCCGTGTCCACTTGCTATGGTTCATCCACCCGTGTCCACTTGCTATGGTTCATCCACCCGTGTCCACTTGCTATGGTTCATCCACCCGTGTCCACTTGCTATGGTTCATCCACCCGTGTCCACTTGCTATGGTTCATCCACCCGTGTCCACTTGCTATGGTTCATCCACCCGTGTCCACTTGCTATGGTTCATCCACCCGTGTCCACTTGCTATGGTTCATCCACCCGTGTCCACTTGCTATGGTTCATCCACCCGTGTCCACTTGCTATGGTTCATCCACCCGTGTCCACTTGCTATGGTTCATCCACCCGTGTCCACTTGCTATGGTTCATCCACCCGTGTCCACTTGCTATGGTTCATCCACCCGTGTCCACTTGCTATGGTTCATCCACCCGTGTCCACTTGCTATGGTTCATCCACCCGTGTCCACTTGCTATGGTTCATCCACCCGTGTCCACTTGCTATGGTTCATCCACCCGTGTCCACTTGCTATGGTTCATCCACCCGTGTCCACTTGCTATGGTTCATCCACCCGTGTCCACTTGCTATGGTTCATCCACCCGTGTCCACTTGCTATGGTTCATCCACCCGTGTCCACTTGCTATGGTTCATCCACCCGTGTCCACTTGCTATGGTTCATCCACCCGTGTCCACTTGATATGGTTCATCCACCCGTGTCCACTTGCTATGGTTCATCCACCCGTGTCCACTTGATATGGTTCATCCACCCGTGTCCACTTGCTATGGTTCATCCACCCGTGTCCACTTGCTATGGTTCATCCACCCGTGTCCACTTGCTATGGTTCATCCACCCGTGTCCACTTGCTATGGTTCATCCACCCGTGTCCACTTGCTATGGTTCATCCACCCATGTCCACTTGCTATGGTTCATCCACCCGTGTCCACTTGCTATGGTTCATCCACCCGTGTCCACTTGCTATGGTTCATCCACCCGTGTCCACTTGCTATGGTTCATCCACCCGTGTCCACTTGATATGGTTCATCCACCCGTGTCCACTTGCTATGGTTCATCCACCCGTGTCCACTTGCTATGGTTCATCCACCCGTGTCCACTTGCTATGGTTCATCCACCCGTGTCCACTTGCTATGGTTCATCCACCCGTGTCCACTTGCTATGGTTCATCCACCCGTGTCCACTTGCTATGGTTCATCCACCCGTGTCCACTTGCTATGGTTCATCCACCCGTGTCCACTTGCTATGGTTCATCCACCCGTGTCCACTTGCTATGGTTCATCCACCCGTGTCCACTTGCTATGGTTCATCCACCCGTGTCCACTTGATATGGTTCATCCACCCGTGTCCACTTGCTATGGTTCATCCACCCGTGTCCACTTGCTATGGTTCATCCACCCGTGTCCACTTGCTATGGTTCATCCACCTAGAGTTGAGCAAATGCCCCGCTCGGGTCGGGCCGACCCGACCCGACCCGTGGTTTTGCCCGGGTCGGGTCAAGGTTTCTGAAACCCTGGCCCGTATGGGCCGACCCGACCCGACCCGCGGAGAAACCCGACCCGAGAGCCCATGTCGGGCCGGGGCGAGCCGGGTCTCGGGTCGGGCCCGACCCGACCCGATTTCGGGTCAGAAATGTCGAATTCGGGTTGGGCCAGGTGCGCGACCCGATTTCGACAGTGTTAGGGCCGAAACCCTAACACAAATGTAAATCGCGGGGATCTTTTCCCCGTCGATTTCATTTCGCCACGCCTGCAGCAGCTCCTAGCAGTGCACTTAGAGTAGTAGCTAGTTCGCCTTAAACTCACTCATAACTTAAGATTCCCCACACAAATTCTATTACTTTAAGTTAGTTGCCTAGATGTACGATTCTGGCTGCAAATAGTCCATTTCGCGCTTGTCAACAGAGTAGTTTTTCAGCCTCCTGGAATCAAGCGCAACCTCTAATAACCTTCCACCCCGCTACATCCGTGGCACACGCGCTGTAAGAGACGAAAATCGCGGCAACCGCAGCACGATTGTGAAGAACACCCGCAGTCCCCCCTAAAGGGACGGGTCTACCTGGCCCGACCCGGCCCGACCCGAACCCGGGTCCCCGTTGACCCGAGTGAGTAGGCCCGGGTCGGGCCGGCAGTTTCAAGAATCTGGCCCGAGCCCGGCCCGACCCGACCCGACCCGAGAGCCCGTGTGGCCCGGCCAAGTCGGGTCGGGTCGGGTCGGGTCGGGCCGGATGCTCAACTCTACATCCACCCGTGTCCACTTGCTATGGTTCATCCACCCGTGTCCACTTGCTATGGTTCATCCACCCGTGTCCACTTGCTATGGTTCATCCACCCGTGTCCACTTGCTATGGTTCATCCACCCGTGTCCACTTGCTATGGTTCATCCACCCGTGTCCACTTGCTATGGTTCATCCACCCGTGTCCACTTGCTATGGTTCATCCACCCGTGTCCACTTGCTATGGTTCATCCACCCGTGTCCACTTGCTATGGTTCATCCACCCGTGTCCGCTTGCTATGGTTCATCCACCCGTGTCCACTTGCTATGGTTCATCCACCCGTGTCCACTTGCTATGGTTCATCCACCCGTGTCCACTTGATATGGTTCATCCACCCGTGTCCACTTGCTATGGTTCATCCACCCGTGTCCACTTGATATGGTTCATCCACCCGTGTCCACTTGCTATGGTTCATCCACCCGTGTCCACTTGCTATGGTTCATCCACCCGTGTCCACTTGCTATGGTTCATCCACCCGTGTCCACTTGCTATGGTTCATCCACCCGTGTCCACTTGCTATGGTTCATCCACCCGTGTCCACTTGCTATGGTTCATCCACCCGTGTCCACTTGCTATGGTTCATCACCCGTGTCCACTTGCTATGGTTCATCCACCCGTGTCCATTTGCTATGGTTCATCCACCCGTGTCCACTTGCTATGGTTCATCCACCCGTGTCCACTTGCTATGGTTCATCCACCCGTGTCCACTTGCTATGGTTCATCCACCCGTGTCCACTTGCTATGGTTCATCCACCCGTGTCCACTTGCTATGGTTCATCCACCCGTGTCCACTTGCTATGGTTCATCCACCCGTGTCCACTTGATATGGTTCATCCACCCGTGTCCACTTGCTATGGTTCATCCACCCGTGTCCACTTGCTATGGTTCATCCACCCGTGTCCACTTGCTATGGTTCATCCACCCGTGTCCACTTGCTATGGTTCATCCACCCGTGTCCACTTGCTATGGTTCATCCACCCGTGTCCACTTGCTATGGTTCATCCACCCGTGTCCACTTGCTATGGTTCATCCACCCGTGTCCACTTGCTATGGTTCATCCACCCGTGTCCACTTGCTATGGTTCATCCACCCGTGTCCACTTGCTATGGTTCATCCACCCGTGTCCACTTGCTATGGTTCATCCACCCGTGTCCACTTGCTATGGTTCATCCACCCGTGTCCACTTGCTATGGTTCATCCACCCGTGTCCACTTGCTATGGTTCATCCACCCGTGTCCACTTGCTATGGTTCATCCACCCGTGTCCACTTGCTATGGTTCATCCACCCGTGTCCACTTGCTATGGTTCATCCACCCGTGTCCACTTGCTATGGTTCATCCACCCGTGTCCACTTGCTATGGTTCATCCACCCGTGTCCACTTGCTATGGTTCATCCACCCGTGTCCACTTGATATGGTTCATCCACCCGTGTCCACTTGCTATGGTTCATCCACCCGTGTCCACTTGCTATGGTTCATCCACCCGTGTCCACTTGCTATGGTTCATCCACCCGTGTCCACTTGCTATGGTTCATCCACCCGTGTCCACTTGCTATGGTTCATCCACCCGTGTCCACTTGCTATGGTTCATCCACCACTAGTGGCAAGCCACCCCCAACCTGCCTTTTGCACATTCCCCCCCCCCCGTGGTCCCTTTCCCCTTCCTCTCCATCCGCCTTCCTATTGCCGAACCTCGTCTCACCTCCCTTCCCCTCCCATATCCTACTCGTCTCTTCTTCACAGCAGACGCCTCCGCAGCCCCCCCTGCACCGCCCTATCAGCCCTCTGGCACCACGTGGGCCTTCCCCCCACTCCCGCGCTCTGCTGTCGCCATCCCTGGCCCCCATGCCATCGCGCACTCGCTGCTGGCGGGCTGGGCCAGGGGGGATGGGGTAGGGGTGGGTGGGGAGGGAGGGGAGGGAAAGGAGGGCGTGGAGGACGGGGACTGGCCTGGAGAAAGGGTGCCTGACGTGGATATTGACACAGGTGACGTGGATATTGACACAGGTGACGTGGATATTGACACAGGTGACGTGGATCTTAACACATGTGACATGGATTTTGCAAATTTGTCTTTGACATTGGCACTCTTGGTGCCACATCCTCTGCGTATACACCACCACGATGCCTTGTCCGCTTGCTGTCAACATGGCGTTGCTGTCATCATGGCGGTGCTGTCATCATGGCGTTGCTGTCATCATGGCGTTGCTGTCATCACGGCGTTGCTGCCTCCTACACCACATACGCCTCTGCATACCATGCTCCCTTGGCCGCACCATACAACACAGTCCATGCCTTCCATCGCACCCCTTCCATCTCACCCACTTCCATCTCACCCTCTTCCATATCACCCTCGTCCATCTCACCCCTGCCATGCCACCCCTGCCATGGCCATGGCCGCCAGGCACATTCAAGTATGTGCTCATGCGCCTCAAGTCGCCAGAGAATGGCCGTTCCAAGCTGGTAAGCACCTGTGCGTGAGCATCCTCAACCATCCTCAACCATCCTCAACCATCCTCAACCATCCCCCTGGTAGCCACTGGTATCGAGCTACTCATCCAATGCATCCAAGCTGATGATTAAAATTTCATCAAGCTGGCAGCTAAGGTGACTTACGACTTTATTAAAATATCAATGCCACCAACCTGGCAACCAAGGCGACCCGCGAAATGGAAAACATCCGTAGAGGTGTTTTCCACCCCATCCCTCGTTTGCTCTCCCTTTCCTGTCCTTACCCCTCTAATCTTGTTTTCTCCTCATTTCCCTACCCACCCCGTTTTGCCTGCCACCCAAACCTCCCCTTCCCACCTTTTCGCAGTCTGCATATCTTCTTCACTCGATTGTAGCCGTGTTGCAGTATATGCACACGTCTTTCTCATTTCCTCCCTCTCCTCGCGTGCTCCCTCTCCTCGCGTGCTCCCTCTCCTCTCGTGCTCCCTCTCCTCCCTTCCTCTCTGTCCTCCTTCCTTCCCCTCGTCCCGTCCTCCCATCTCGTCCTCCCTCTCTCCCCCTTTTTCCGTGCAGATAGTGCGAGGGGACAAGAGGGCGCCTTTCCACAACGATGTGCTACAGCACACGGCACGCTTCATGGCGGCCCTGGGGCTTAAGGTACTCCGTTGGGGTAGTGAGGTGTGGTGCGGGTACTGAAGGAATAAGCCATGCACTCGGGCACAGTTTAGAGTTTTGAGACACAACGCGAGTCGCATCGTGACGCCTCTGGACTTCAAGGTAGCGTTACTTAAGGAATAAATGTGGTACAGTCACTGTGATCATACGGCCAAATACAGGGCATGTTTCCAAGTTCTGAAACTCCCCAATTGTCGCTTCATTGCACCCTTGAACACCCCAAGGTAAAATAGAACCGCAAAGGTGATCATCCGCCCTGACATGGTTCTAACTTTCTTCCCAGTCTCCTGTGGCTTACCAGCATGCTGATTTCTGGCAACTATGTGTGCCGATGCACCCTTAGGGCATGTCAAGTCAACGGGTGCATGCACATGGGTGTACATATCCTTGTGGGACAGACTATTTCGGGGACCCGACCCGATGCAAGCCGAGCATGTGCCCTGCCTAAGTCATGTTCTGCATGGGCAGGTGGAGGCTGTGGGTGGCGGTCGAATCAACCACGATGCTGCAAAGAAGCAAATCACCATCTATGGCTTTTCACAGGTGCGCTTGGTCCAATGCTGCTGCTGAAGTTAGTGGCTGTGTTAGATTTGGTATCATTAAAACACTTTCTTTGTGCTGCTTTTCCTCTTCGCCGCTTTCAGGCATTTGGCCGAGCGGACCACAAGGTAACAGCGGCCCTTGTGCGACAGTGGTATCCTCTTCATAGCATTGCCACGTCAAACCATGGTTACTGAAAAATACTCCACTCTTGGTACCGTATAGTACGTGTTTGTATGATTGTATCAACTTGTCAAAGTTCCAGTCTTTTATTGTGGTCTGTGTTGGGAGGGCTGACGCTATCAGACTAGTATTTACTCTGATTAGTCTGACGAATCAGACCTTGCAGTTGCTGGAAAATGTTTTTTTTTTTTTTTTTTAAGTAGTCTAATTTTTATCCCTGAATGCATGTTTTGGGGCCCTTGATTGTTAAGCTGAGAAAATAGCCTTAGAATCTTTACCTGTTGAAATCTAGAGACAGGAATGATTGGATTGAAAGAAGCAAGGGTACAAATAGGAAACCCTAGTTGGGGTTGTACCCCATATTGGCTACCCCACTACAGCCTACAAGCATATAACACATTTATACTTTGACACACCCCCATAGGCAAAGTGGGGGAGAGCAAGGGGTCACAAGACCAGTCAAGCAAAGCAAAGAACAAGCTCAGGGTGGATCACAATGTCACCACACTCTCTGAGCACAAGCAAAGGCCACAAGGCCAGTTCACATGCAGATTTATATAGAAGAACACAAGTAGTACAGTGATCAAAGCCTAGCAAGTGCAAGCATGCAAGGACATATATATAGATCACAGTACAAGCAAAGTCAAGAAGTAAGCAAGTGAGAGAACGTGGACACAAGGCCTAACGCAGTGCAGTGCCGCTGATGATCACTAGGCGGAAGCGCCTTGGTGAATATATCAGCAGTGTTGGCCTTCGAGTCCACGTACGCAAGGCGAAGCTGGCCACGCTGCTGCAGCTCTCGAGCCAGAAAGTAACGAAGAGCAATGTGCTTCGTTCTGTGCTCCAGTCTGTGCTCCTGACACAAGGCAAGAGCTGCCTTGTTGTCACCGTACAGAACTGGAGGAGAACGAGGCCGCTCACCCAGGTCAGTCAGCAGGTAGGTGAGCCAGCGTAGCTCCTGTGCAGCCATGGCCGTGGCGTAGATCTCAGCCTCACAACTGGAGCTGAGAACAGACGAAGAGCGAGTGGAACGCCAAGAGACAGAACCAGAGCCAAGGCTGAAAGTGTAACCCTGTGACGACCGCTGCGTAGCCAGGTCGTCAACCTAAGAGGCGTCTGAGTGTCCAGTGAGGACAACTGAGCCCTGTCCTCCAAGCACAAGCCCCATGCCTGATGTACTGCACAAGTAGCGCAACACCCTCTTAGCAGCCTCCCAATGCTCTCGCCTGTGTCTCCCAGGTGCAACGTAGCGAGCTAGGATGCTAAGAGGGTACGCAAGGTCAGGTCGAGTGCAGGTCATCAGGTACATGAGGCAGCCCACAAGCTCTGGGTACGGGCCACTCGGCTCTACGGACTCGTCCGAAGGTGGAGCTGAGAGCGAGTGGCTGGTAGACAGAGGAGTGGACTGAGGTGAGGAGAACTGGAAACCGAAGCGCTGAAGGACCTGCTGCACCATGTGTGACTGAGTCAGGGTGATGGTGCGACGTGCTCTGTCCCGAGTGATCTGCAAGCCAAGGTAACTACGCAGCTCACCCAAGTCTGTGCACGTGTGTCTCCTCTGCAGCTCCGACTTCACAAGAGCGAGTGCCTCAGTGTCAGCAGTAGCAAAGACCAAGTCGTCGACGTACACGAGGATGCAGAACGGCGGCAGCGACATGTCTGTGCGCAGGAACAGTGAAGGGTCTGCAGTGGAGGGAGCAAACCCAAGAGCTGCAAGTGTCGTCCTCAGTGTGTCGTGCCACTCACGTGGCGCCTGACGGAGACCGTAAACTGGCCGTCGGAGGCTCCACTGGGTACCAGGAGGAAAAGACCCAGTGAAGCCAGGAGGACGGCACAGCCAGATCTCCTCGTGCAGACTGCCCTGCAAGAAAGCTGTGCTGAAGTCAAGAGAGTGAAGCTCGTAGTCACGCTGAGCGGCAACGTGCAGCAGCACCCGAAGAGTGGTCATCTTCGGGGTGGGGGAGAAGGTCTGGAAGAAGTCAACTCCCTGGCGCTGACTGAAGCCTCGAGCAACGTAACGAGTCTTGAAGACAGGCGGAGAACCCGGCGGCCGCTTCACCCTGAAAATCCACATGCCATCGACGATGTTCGCCCCAGGAGGTGTTTTCCACCCCATCCCTCGTTTGCTCTCCCTTTCCTGTCCTTACCCCTCTAATCTTGTTTTCTCCTCATTTCCCTACCCACCCCGTTTTGCCTGCCACCCAAACCTCCCCTTCCCACCTTTTCGCAGTCTGCATATCTTCTTCACTCGATTGTAGCCGTGTTGCAGTATATGCACACGTCTTTCTCATTTCCTCCCTCTCCTCGCGTGCTCCCTCTCCTCGCGTGCTCCCTCTCCTCTCGTGCTCCCTCTCCTCCCTTCCTCTCTGTCCTCCTTCCTTCCCCTCGTCCCGTCCTCCCATCTCGTCCTCCCTCTCTCCCCCTTTTTCCGTGCAGATAGTGCGAGGGGACAAGAGGGCGCCTTTCCACAACGATGTGCTACAGCACACGGCACGCTTCATGGCGGCCCTGGGGCTTAAGGTACTCCGTTGGGGTAGTGAGGTGTGGTGCGGGTACTGAAGGAATAAGCCATGCACTCGGGCACAGTTTAGAGTTTTGAGACACAACGCGAGTCGCATCGTGACGCCTCTGGACTTCAAGGTAGCGTTACTTAAGGAATAAATGTGGTACAGTCACTGTGATCATACGGCCAAATACAGGGCATGTTTCCAAGTTCTGAAACTCCCCAATTGTCGCTTCATTGCACCCTTGAACACCCCAAGGTAAAATAGAACCGCAAAGGTGATCATCCGCCCTGACATGGTTCTAACTTTCTTCCCAGTCTCCTGTGGCTTACCAGCATGCTGATTTCTGGCAACTATGTGTGCCGATGCACCCTTAGGGCATGTCAAGTCAACGGGTGCATGCACATGGGTGTACATATCCTTGTGGGACAGACTATTTCGGGGACCCGACCCGATGCAAGCCGAGCATGTGCCCTGCCTAAGTCATGTTCTGCATGGGCAGGTGGAGGCTGTGGGTGGCGGTCGAATCAACCACGATGCTGCAAAGAAGCAAATCACCATCTATGGCTTTTCACAGGTGCGCTTGGTCCAATGCTGCTGCTGAAGTTAGTGGCTGTGTTAGATTTGGTATCATTAAAACACTTTCTTTGTGCTGCTTTTCCTCTTCGCCGCTTTCAGGCATTTGGCCGAGCGGACCACAAGGTAACAGCGGCCCTTGTGCGACAGTGGTATCCTCTTCATAGCATTGCCACGTCAAACCATGGTTACTGAAAAATACTCCACTCTTGGTACCGTATAGTACGTGTTTGTATGATTGTATCAACTTGTCAAAGTTCCAGTCTTTTATTGTGGTCTGTGTTGGGAGGGCTGACGCTATCAGACTAGTATTTACTCTGATTAGTCTGACGAATCAGACCTTGCAGTTGCTGGAAAATGTTTTTTTTTTTTTTTTTAAGTAGTCTAATTTTTATCCCTGAATGCATGTTTTGGGGCCCTTGATTGTTAAGCTGAGAAAATAGCCTTAGAATCTTTACCTGTTGAAATCTAGAGACAGGAATGATTGGATTGAAAGAAGCAAGGGTACAAATAGGAAACCCTAGTTGGGGTTGTACCCCATATTGGCTACCCCACTACAGCCTACAAGCATATAACACATTTATACTTTGACACACCCCCATAGGCAAAGTGGGGGAGAGCAAGGGGTCACAAGACCAGTCAAGCAAAGCAAAGAACAAGCTCAGGGTGGATCACAATGTCACCACACTCTCTGAGCACAAGCAAAGGCCACAAGGCCAGTTCACATGCAGATTTATATAGAAGAACACAAGTAGTACAGTGATCAAAGCCTAGCAAGTGCAAGCATGCAAGGACATATATATAGATCACAGTACAAGCAAAGTCAAGAAGTAAGCAAGTGAGAGAACGTGGACACAAGGCCTAACGCAGTGCAGTGCCGCTGATGATCACTAGGCGGAAGCGCCTTGGTGAATATATCAGCAGTGTTGGCCTTCGAGTCCACGTACGCAAGGCGAAGCTGGCCACGCTGCTGCAGCTCTCGAGCCAGAAAGTAACGAAGAGCAATGTGCTTCGTTCTGTGCTCCAGTCTGTGCTCCTGACACAAGGCAAGAGCTGCCTTGTTGTCACCGTACAGAACTGGAGGAGAACGAGGCCGCTCACCCAGGTCAGTCAGCAGGTAGGTGAGCCAGCGTAGCTCCTGTGCAGCCATGGCCGTGGCGTAGATCTCAGCCTCACAACTGGAGCTGAGAACAGACGAAGAGCGAGTGGAACGCCAAGAGACAGAACCAGAGCCAAGGCTGAAAGTGTAACCCTGTGACGACCGCTGCGTAGCCAGGTCGTCAACCTAAGAGGCGTCTGAGTGTCCAGTGAGGACAACTGAGCCCTGTCCTCCAAGCACAAGCCCCATGCCTGATGTACTGCACAAGTAGCGCAACACCCTCTTAGCAGCCTCCCAATGCTCTCGCCTGTGTCTCCCAGGTGCAACGTAGCGAGCTAGGATGCTAAGAGGGTACGCAAGGTCAGGTCGAGTGCAGGTCATCAGGTACATGAGGCAGCCCACAAGCTCTGGGTACGGGCCACTCGGCTCTACGGACTCGTCCGAAGGTGGAGCTGAGAGCGAGTGGCTGGTAGACAGAGGAGTGGACTGAGGTGAGGAGAACTGGAAACCGAAGCGCTGAAGGACCTGCTGCACCATGTGTGACTGAGTCAGGGTGATGGTGCGACGTGCTCTGTCCCGAGTGATCTGCAAGCCAAGGTAACTACGCAGCTCACCCAAGTCTGTGCACGTGTGTCTCCTCT